AATTATTGTGAGAAGAAATATTTTATTTGTAATCACTTTTATATAAAAGTATAAACAACTTTTGAAATTCAAAAATAATTTAAAAAAAAAATAAAAATGTGAGAGTCCTTTCTGAAAAAAAAAAAAAAAACTTTTAAATTAAAATAATTGTTGTTATCAACAACAGCAATAATAATAATAATAATAATAATAATAATAATAATAATATATTATTATACTTTACAAAATACAGTATATATGTTAAAGTCATAATTTAAAGTAAATGTGTTGAGAATGATAGTGGCCCAAAACTGTTCTCGGCCCACATGTATTTATATTAAAACCTACCACAGCCTATTTGGAAATTAGACATTGGGCTTCTATATACTATAGTGGGCTTTTATTTTAATACTTGAATCACAAACAAAGGCCCAATTATTTTTTTAAGACTTCCTTATGTTTTGGAGTATTTCGATTAAAATAATAATAACAATAATATTTACATAAATGCATGCATATATAATTATATATAAATATATATATATACATTTCAAATAATTGTTAAATAGTAGAACAAGATTTTTACTCTCTGTGCATTGTGTTTTAGATTTTAGATTAAATAATTGTCCAATGTAATATTTTATACTTAATTATTATTCTTTATATCCATCAATGTATGTTCATTTGATTTGAACATGAATTTTAATTAATATAATATTATATTAATTAATTTGGCCTTAGAATATTTTAAAAAATATTTTAGTGATTTTTAATAGAGTGTGAGAAATTTTTTCACAAATGTAAGTAATTATAGTATTTTTGTAAAAAAAATATAATGTTGAAGGATATAAATTAAATAATATGTAAAAATTATTTTTTTATATATAGAAAGTGTATATTTTTCTTTAGAAAAAAAAACCCATAAATAATTCTACAAAAAATCAGGAGTAAAAATATTCCATAAATTATTTGTTATGAATTTTTTTTTTTTTACAAAAAATTATACACTTTCTATATATAAAAAATAATTTTTATATTGAACCCTTATATTATTTATATACAAAAAAATATACACTTTCTATATGTAAAAAATAACTTTTATATTGAACCCTTATATATAAAAAATATACACTTTCTATATATTTTAATTTGAATGATTATTTATTCTTTTTTACTTGCTATGCAACTGGCTAATTATACAAAAAATAGTGAACCCTTATATATAAATTTATTTATTGGCGAACGTGTAAAATCAGTATTATATTTTTAAATTTTTCATCAAGAAAAAGATTTTATTATAAATTAAACTGCACAAATAATAATAATAATAATAATAATAATAATAATAATAATAATAATAATAATAATATAGGCAAATTTGAAGTACTCTGTGTTTTATTCTAAAGATATATGATCAAATTAAATTTAAAAATATGATGAACAGTCAACAATATATATAATTTCTTTCAATAATCACTATCAAAATTATGCAGAAAACTAAACAGTGTAGAGAATCCCCAATTTTTTTCATCACTGTCACAATTAGGGTTTCGTCAATTTTCCCTGCAGAATTTCCTCAGATTTATAATTTCCAGACTCAACGAATCTGAAAATTACCCGTTTGTAAATCTACGAACCGTCGTTCTCAAGGAAAGGCATAGCAAGAACGAGCTAAAATGGAGCAAGAAAACAAACAGTTATTACCGCGATGACGACGACGACAAACTTCAGTTCAGAAAAATTAGGGTTTCTTAAATGAATTAAAATAATAAAATAAAATAAAATAAAATAAAAATGATGGATCGAGAAGGAGTGGGAGATGATGAATTTGGAAGAAGGGTTAAGAATTGGTTGGAGGCAGAGGCATATACCTGAAATGGAGAATTAGGGTTAGGGCTACTTTTTTGGAGAGCAGGACATGACAGGGAAAGGGGAAATCGATCAAATTATGGGGTTGGGGGGGCCCTTTCAGGAGAAATTAAAATACTACTCTAATACATATATACATATATATATATATATAGAGAGAGAGAGAGAGAGAGAATTGCGTGGAGTGATGGACAAAGGTACCTATGATTATGAAATTCTACATTTGTATTTGGAGAGGGAGAAGAGGTGGAAGGTGGCCTTAGGTTAGGACACAGCTTTTAAATTTCTTCTCAGACATGACATGGAATGTAATGGAAGCTTAATTTTTTTATTTCTTTTTACTCACAAAATGTCATAAAATATTGTATCATCAAATCAAACATAAAGACTAATAAGTCCGCAAGAGATGATTTAGTGGTGTCGAACTTAGTTTTTAGAGTATTAGATTCGACTGAAAATTTATTCAAAATACACTATCAATGAGTAGCCACAGTGGATTTTCACGTTATAAGAAAATATATACAAAGACCAATACACAAAATAAAAACGAAAATACAAATATAAATACGAAACAACTCACTCAATGAATATTGAGAGAGAGAATGAGATGTAAAGTGTTCTTATAAGATTTTGGTTTTTTATTTTGGTTTTTTGAATTATAAAATTTTGAATTGAAATAGTTGTTCGATGTTATATAACTATGTATGTAATATTTTTAATGTAAAATTATATTTTAGTGTAATATAACAAATAAAATTAGGTATATGATTTGATATTTTCTTTTAAAAAAAATAGTAAAATTAGACAGAAAGTTATACAAGTAAACACACAAGTATCTTGTGAATTATTTTGAAACTAGAAAATAGGTATTAAATGTAATATTTTAGATAGACTATATATATTTTACTTAATATGATACTTTCTTCCTCCCACGTATAATTTGTCTATATTTCTATTTTCGTCTGTCCACATAACTTGTCCTTTCTATTTTTGGAATTATAAATATGTACTTTAATTACATTTTAAATTTAAAATTTTATAATTTTTTAAATTTTAATTAAACTATTTACTTATCTTAATCTATAATTATTTTTAAATAATAATTACTTTTACTAATACACTTCTTAATTACTTACTAATTATACTTTATCCAAATTCTCGTATCTACGGTAATATACTCATATTACATGGGACGGAAGGAATAATTTTAATGAAAAGTATATGTCAGAGCTCGTGTTTTTAAGGATTTTTTTTTTTTAATTAGCAATGTGCTGGTTATACATACATATATATATATATATTTTTTTTCAATTGAATTATTGTTCATATATCTATTTATCTATAAGATGGCCAGTTCTACAATATGCTAAATTAGGGTTTTAATTATAATTAGGGTTGATATGTTTATCTTCAATATTTTTTTCCTTCATATAAATATATATATATATATATCTTAAATAATAACCAAGGCTTTCTGGAAATTTGGTTTGTTTTTTATTTTTGGTTTGAATAGTGGTCACTACAACGATTGCTTATAATAGATAAAAAATTTGAAATATGAGAATTCCAAAAGAACACACTTTTGAAATCTGAAAAATTTTAAAAATAATAAAAATTGTATATATATTTTGTGAAAAAATGATTTGATATTTCAAAAACAAAAAAAATTACTATTGAAACGCCAAAAGTGATTTTTGAATACAAATAAACAAACTTTAATAAATTTATAGCAAAATTATGTTAGATGATCAGAATGACCATCTCATCGAAAAAATTAAATTGTTAGGGATACGTTTACTTAATTTATTTACATACGAGAGTCAACCAACACGCCCTCTATATTAGACGATCTGAATAAATGTTGTCATTTCGATCGGTCTAACAATTACAAATTATTTAATTTTTCTCCTGAAACTCCCAGCAACACTTATTGTTAGCTTCCCTCATTCATCATTCTCTTCTTTCCCCTACAGCTACACAGTATAGCCTTCAGTCTTTCCTAGGCAAAGTCCTTTTCCATGTTCATTAACAAAAAGACAACTTTTATTATATATATATATATATATATGCATGCATCCCTAAATTCATTAAATAAACATATATAGCTAGGGTGTGTTTGTCTATGTTCTTTCATGCATTTCAAAAATTTTCGTATGAAAAAATAAAAGAAGAAAAAAAGTGATATATTTGATCCGGAGAAAGTTTAAGAGGATTGATAAGCACAAATTAAGTATGTCGAAAGAACTTGTGATTAGTGCACTACATATATTAACAAAATAAATTGATTAGACTGCTTATGTGGACAAAATAAATTTTCCAAGTGCACATGAATAAATTTTAGGATTTTGGAAAGCCCTAAGTTAGGGTTTGGATATGAAGATATTTTTAGTGTAATATTTATATATATATATGTATTGAGTTTAATATTTTTTAAAAGAATATACTCCCACTCCGTCTATGATTAATTTATATTTTTATCATGGCAGGCCACAATCAATATTATTTTTACAATTTATTCATTGTACTTTCAATGAGTAATATTTCACCTAAGAACAAATAGTGAAAAAATTTGTATGAATATAAAAACAATACTACACACAACACTAACATGGATGGTTTGTAATAAAAATGTGTTATTTGTTTATAATTTCAACGCGTACAATATAAATATATATTATATGTTAAAATCAACTGCTATATTTATTGTGAGAGATTATATCATATGTTGTTAGTTCATGTGTTATATTTATATTATATTAATATAAATAATGTACTCCCAATAGTTTTAAGTGTGTTGTTTATTAGCACATTACATATTATTCAATATAATACTGAATTTTAAATTCAAGACTGTAACGACGGCCAACAAACACATCTTCTCTCTCTCTCTCTCTAAAACCTCTCGAAACCATTGTTTTCCCATGGATCATTTAAGTAGGCCCTTTCTTCAACCCTAAGTACAAATTAAAGATTCTTATTTTTCTCAGGCAGATATGATTACATACATTGTGTAAATGATCAGTCAAATGCCTGATTTCCTATTAGAGAAAAAAAGGGTTGTTTTCAAGGACACCTCTCTATTATCTATAGCTAGGGTTTGTCACTTGATCATCATCACTCTCACTCTAACTTTCATACTCCCAAAGAAAAAAATGTACACCAAGAACACACACTTATTTGCCCAAGAAAACTCACCCCTACCCTCTCTTCACCCTCTCTTTCCCCCACCCAACACCATTGATGAAATCTTTCAGCTCCATTATACCCATGCAGATCAAAACATCTCCACCACTCCTTTTGCCGGTTTCCATAATGCCCTTCTTCAAAATTCCGATCATCATCATCATCATCACCGCGTAGTTGCTGCTGATTCGATGGAATATACATCCGATTATCAGACGATGCAGCCGTCGTCGGGGAAGAAAGACCGGCACAGCAAAATATACACGGCTCAGGGGCCGAGAGACCGACGAGTCCGGCTGTCGAAAGGGATTGCTAGAAAGTTTTTCGATCTTCAAGAAATGCTCGGTTTCGACAAGCCCAGCAAAACCCTAGAATGGCTGCTGAATAAATCAAGAACCGCCATTAAAGAGCTCCTTCAGAGCAAACGAAAAGAGAGAGCTGGAAGCAGCAGTTCATCGCCAACCTCTGATCATTGTGAGGCTTTTTCTAATTCTGCTGCAGATTCGGGGAAAAGATCTGTTAAAGAAGCCAGGGTTTTCGAACAGCAGGCATGTACAAATCTTGCAAAGGAATCTAGGGCAAAGGCGAGAGAAAGGGCTAGGGCAAGAACAAGGGAGAAAATGTGCATCAAGCAGATCAATGAAGCGAGGGAGAACAATATTCGATGCGGTAACGACGATAATAATCGTCCTTTCGACGTTTTTGAGATGCCTAATGCTGGTTCAGCGTATCATCCTATGATGAACGAATTAGGACATTGTAATAATGCCCTAATTCAGGAATCTTCAGCAATCAGGAGAAGTTCAGTTCATCAACAAAGCCTTGTTGGTTCTGCAAGAGATTCGAATTCGACTATGACGATGATAAGTTCGAACTACATGACTTCTACTCTCCCATCTTTTAATGGATCTGAAAATTGGGATTTTTGCACTTTCTTCACACCCCCTCCCCAATCCAACCTCTATCCGCCATGGGAGCACCCCAAGTTCATCACTCGGTAAATTTTAAAAAAAAAAAAAAAATCTGATAGAATAAATGATCTGTTTACTATGAATCGATTTAATTTGTGATTAATTAATTTTCTCTGCTGCTGCAGCCCTTCGAACATGTAGAAAAGAAGCTTTTGGAGACCAAACTGGATTAATTAGGGCTGCTGTCTGCAGAATGAATGTAAGAACTTCTGCTGCAATTGGGATCTAAAAAGGAGGTAATATCAAGATTTGTTATTTCCCAGCAAATTCTCAGAAGTCGAACTTTTCCATGACTGTTATTGTCTAATTTTATGTTTTTTAATAACATCTGGTAAAAAATTAATTACTTATGGGCACACCCTAAACACTTCAGACAATGTCCTCATCAATGGATAAATTTGAAGGGATTATTAAATTGTGACTGTAATTCTGAAATGAACAAAAGAGTAACATCAAATATATGCTTTAGTACTGAAAAGGTAGTTAACATTCAAAGAACTTCAGATCTGAGGAGATTGTGAGTTCTAACAGACGATAGGAAAATTGAAAAGAAAAATTGAAAATAAATAAAGGGTTTAATTAGATTTGCCTGTCTACTATCTGCCTACTTCAAGAGGAACACAATCTAATGTGCAAGTCATTTCATGTTTATTACAAAATTTATTTATTTAAATTTGTTTCAAATCAGCAGGTCATGAGATTTAATTTGGACATCTCCAGGGAAGTCTTTCAATTGGTTGTCTAGGTTAAGTTACTTATTGAAATTTAACTTTGTGCAGTTTTCTCTTAAAGCTTTAGACAGTACATTTATACATACATACATACATATACATACATATATACGCATATATAAATGTATGTATGTATGTATGTCTTTGTGTACACTTTTGGAAGATGCCTAGTTCATAAATAGATTGGCTAAGCCTTCGTTCGATCGAATGGGATGAATTTGAATATGAAAGTATATTTCAAATAAATATAGTTCGAAATAGTTTTAAAATCCATATTTGCATTTAGAATTTAGAATGATATAAAATAGAATTTGAAATATTAAAGAAATGCATGTGAAATATGTTGGGAATCTATACAATATATCATTGGTTTTAATTAATGACATATTTTTCTATGGACTTATATTTTAGATGAGATGATCGTTTAATATGATATCAAATTAAGCTTGAGGTCCGGTTGTTCAAAGAAATAAAACATTGTCCACATGCAAAGTTTGTATGAGATGAATTTCGCCTGCACATGAATGAAAGGTAGGTTGAAAAAATTGGATAAGATATAACTAATTATTATTATTATTATTATTATTATTTTTTCCTTAAATTTTTAAGTAAGATCCATTGTTAATTTTAAAGATTTGAAATTCATTGTATTATCAAATAAGATTAATGAATTTGATAAAATAGTTTGAAATATTTATTACTCCTATAATTTTATTTAAAAGAAAATATTAAGATCCCCCCCCCCCCCCCCCCCCCCCCCCAATTGTTTATATGATCATCTCATGTTATTACATACTTAGGATAAAATAATCCCTTGGAATAATCCTATCAATTTAAAGAATAGGGTTTCCTACATTACTATCAGTTATGATGATGATATACAATTTTATACTTACCTGGCTGACCTGTGGCTGAAGATCTAGAAATTAAAACTCCATGGATGGATCATCTGTCAAACAATGATAACAGATCAATTAAAAATATACAGATCAAATTAAATAAATCAAATCAATAACCAAATAGTTACGTACAGTAAATTTTCCATTGGCAAGAATCATGATGAGGAGACGATGCATATATCCACCTGCAGAACTTAAAATCTTCGACCCTTTTTATTACATCATGATGGCCTATTGAAGGGGAATTGAAATACACTAACACACTGAGTACTTACACACACACATATATATATATATATATATATATGATGAGTTGACGAATTCTTGATGAATGATGACTAAGGTACGATGATAATGTAATATAAAATGCTTGGAGCCTTGTGCCAAATTTTGACTGGATTATATATCTTGTGTAGATCTATGATCAGGCAATGGCTGGTGATATATATATATATATATATATAAGAAAATCCTGAGTTGGTGAACTTTGTCAGTATTTTTTTATTTATTTGAGTGTGGATCATACAGTTATTATTTAAATTATGTGTTTTGAAGTTATTAATAATTTATGGGAATTGCAAGTTGAATAATATAAGAAAATTATTAATTTTGTGTTTGTGTAAGTATGAATTAATTCGGACTGTGAAACTTTCGAACCACTAGTATTATATATAATTTATTTGATATATAGTTCTTGCCACTTGTATAGCTATAATAATTTAAGTGCTAATGAAATGAATTGTCTTTAAATATTTTTTAAATTTTCGACATTATTTATCTATTTTATTTTATTTTTATAAATAAACATCAAATATAATTTTTTTGTTAAAATATCACATTATATATCATAAATTATTATTATTAAAAAAAATGTATGTCTAAATACAATTTTTGAGCATTTCTTTTTAGTTTTTCTTTTTAATTTTTTATTATCATTTTTAATAAAAGATTTACATATAATTTCTCCTTTAAGGTTTAGACAGTAATTGAACCGTTATCTTTTATTTCTTTTAACTTTAAACCCTCAAATTCTATTATTTGGGTTCTTCAATTTTTAATATATATATTTTTTCATAAAACATCTCATCCTACATTATTTTAATACCAAACTTAAATAAAAAAATTTCAAATAAAAAAAGAAAAAAAAGAAGACCAATCTAGAGAATATTGAAACATTGGTTGAAGTACTACTCTTGCAACAAAATTGTGCTTCTCTGCTCCATTTTGAAATGACTCGTTTTATTTGGAATATGGTATTTAATGTAAAATATTTAATTAGTTAATAATAATGAATTATGATATTATTTTTTATATGCTTATATGAATAGTATTGTTGATAGTTTCAATATATATTATTAAAATAAATGCATAATATGTGCTTAAATAATTTAAAAAAAATATTATTTATTTATAATTAAGATAAACTAATTTTATTAAAAAAAATAAAAAATTTTAAATGCAAATAAAAATATTTATCTAATGAGAAGAATGACAATAAATAAAAGAATTTTGAATAGATTTTAGATAATGTATGAGGTTATATATTAAGTTAATTAAATTGACTTATATTTAGTAAGTATATTTTATATTTAGTAAATTTTACTAAATACTCCCTCCGTCCCATAACAAGTATTTTTTTCATTTTAGTCCATCCCACAACAAAGTATCTATTTTTTTTTAGTAACTGTAGTATCTACCTAACATTACAAATACCCTTACAACTTACAATATATTACACAAATATCATTACTTTTGTATCACACATACTAATAATATTATTTTAGTCATTTCTACTTTATTCCTACTATATTCCAATATAATACTAATATTTTTAAAACTACGTGTAAAAAATAAATGAATATTTAGTTCCCACACGAAAAAAGTATAAAATATACCAATTAAAATGTGAAAATTGAAATATGAGCGAGCGAGCACTAATAAGTGATGCATTTTTTAATAAAAAGTAAGGTAGCTCACCAAAATTATTGCAATATGCTTTGTTAACCTGTATTAAATTCAAATTTTTATACTTTTTTGATATATTAAATTTAGATTTTAAATTTTTTATAAATTTTTGATGTATTCAATCATCCATAAAATTTAAAAATTCATGAATTTTATTGGATTTTTTTAATAAAATTATTAATAAATTACATTGTATAGAATCTTTGATTATAAGTTGAGATTTCAATGGATTATCAAAATCTTAAAAAAATACATATTGTTTTTTTATATTATTAATAATTATTTATTATTTTATATATACTTAATATTTTATTATAATAATATCGGTAAAATAAAAAAAAAGTATAGATGTAAATATAAAAATTATAAAATATTTTAAAATTTTATATAATTGAAATAATACTAAAAATTATATATATTTAAAATAATAAAATAGACTTGCTCAAATTGTTCGAATTAAAATTATTAATTTTGATTTTTTGAAATGTCAAATCGAAATTAAACTTTCCGCGACTTTAATTTGTATTTTCTTATTTTGGTTTCAGTTCCGTAGGTTTCGGTTAAAAATCATCGAGTCTAGTTTACATTGTTAGTTTATATTTATTCCTTTTTAATACTTTTATTTTTTAATTTCAATCCAAAAATTGTAATTTTATTTTACTTAAAAATATATTTTTTAATAAAAAATTATATAAATAATAATAATAATAATAATAATAATAATAATAATAATAACAACAATTAGATAGATTATTATAAATTTAAAATTATTATTAGTATTATTGTTAAAATAAAAAATGAGAATAATAATAAATATATTTTTTTAGAACTAATGTATTTTTAATATGTTTGTTAAATATTTGAAGTTTATATATACATATATATATAAGTGTAGTCCATATATTTGAAATTATATAAATTAATAAAAAAATATTTAATTCACAAATTTATAAACTCTAATGAAATCCAGGTAAATAAATAAATAATTCAATTAAATCTTTTAAAATTTATATAAATTAATAAACAAAATCAATTAAACTCTATATAAATTATATATAATTTTTAAATCCAATAAAGTCCACAAATTTTTTAAAGTCCAAACAAATTCATTAAAATTCTAATTAAATACACACACTCAATGTAGAGTTTATTATATTTTATTGACTCTTAAAATCTTAGGTGTATTCAATCCAGATTTTAAAAAGTAAAATATAAAATTCAGATTTTTAAAATTTTTTTTAAAATTTAAATATATTTAATTCATATTTTAAAAATTTCTAAACTTTTGGTTTATTCAACAATCTATTACCTTAGGGCATCCACAACGGGAGACGCTTGTTGAGAAGCGCCTCCCACGTCATCATTTATTAAATAAAAAAAAAATTAAAACACCAATTAACATAAGGAACGGTACATTGCGAGTATACCGTTTCTTCCAATTTTTGTGGGCCATGGTCCACTTTTTTATTCAATAAATATTAAAAATAATATTTATAATATATACTTTTTTATTTATATTTATAATAATTTGTTTTATTAAAATATTAGATTTAAATTTTATTATATGAGTTTTATTTAATATTTATTTTTTTATTAAAATAATATTGTTAATAACTATAATTTTTAATATAATATTTTTATATTTTATGTAACTTTTTAATGCATATTTTTGTAAAATATTTAATTAAATATTATAAGAATAAAATATAATGAAAAAATATAAATTTATTTTATAAATAGATAAAATATTTAATGAGGTGGAAAAAGTAAAGATTTTAAAGGGTTCTTTGATGTGAATGTAAAATATAGTTGGAGTTCTTCGTGACGTGGCGGAGAGAGAAACTGACGTGGCACAGGAGAGAGAATGGGAAGAAACCCTGGATGGGTTTCTGTGCTGTGGATGGGTTTAAAAATAAAAACAAAAATAAAAATAAAAATATAGATGTAAAATTATTATTATTATTAAAATAAAAATAAAAATAAAAATAAAAATGAGAATAATAATAATAATAGAAGTAGTATATTTTTTGAGATCTAATGTATATTTAATATTTTTGTTAAATATATGATATTTTTTTATATGTATACGAGGTACTCCATATATTTGAAATTAGATAAATTACTAAAAAATATTTAGTCGACGAATTTATAAATTTTAATGAAATTCAAGTAAATTAATAAATAATCTAATTAAATCTATCAAAATCTATGTAAATCAATAAGAAAAATCAATTAAAAACGGTATAGATTTTATAAAATTTTTAAATCCATTAAAGTTTCCAAAATTTGAAAATCTAAACAAATTTATTAAAATCATAATCGAATATATGTCGTAAATTTTTTGGAAGAAAATAAAGCCTAATAAAAAATATAGGAAAACCCAATAATTTTATTATATCTAGGGTTTGGGCGTTTATATATAAGGCCCAAACCATTGAAGATATTCCCTCCAGGATTATTTTCTTCCATAGTTGCGTTGCATGTGGAAACGGGAGCTGTATGGAGTCACAGAGGATGGGGGAGGCATACGTGATCGTCTCTGAGATGCAGCCTTGGAGGGAGGAGCAATACTGTCTAATATCTCCTTCATCGTCTATTTCTCGTTTATTTTTTTTGTTTTTTCAAAAAATTTCTATGTTGCTTTAATTTGGAGAAGGGAATTTCTCAGTGGCGGCCATAGATTGGGATGGTTCTTCATATTCTCTGCAAGTTTTTCTAAAAATATATTCCAGTAATTTGGTTTGAACTTTGGATTTTCTACGTAATTTATCAATTCTGTATTTGGCCTATTGAAGGGTAGAGGCAATGGATTCAGGTTGGGAGTTGAGGTTGTGCGTGATTTTTTACCTGCTATATACTATTCAAGTATGCATATGAGACGAAAATGGTGATTGTTAGTTATTTAGATGCTGAAAAACTATTAGTTTTTCATGTTGCCAATTGAGGCGATTATTTTACTCTAGTTTGCTGATTCCAAATATAGGCATGCTAAAATTATCCGTCAAGATCCTAAGTAATATCCTTAGATTGATAATGACTGCTAGATCAAAATATATTTAGAATATATATATAGATATATTATATTTATAGTTGTTGTTTTATTTAAGAGATTGGTAGGATTTTTGCCTTATTTAGCCGACTTGCATATTTTTGCCTTATTGCGAAGGTTGAATAGTTGAAATGAAAAGAAGAAATTAGTTTGCTCTAGATTTTAGTAATTTATTTAAAAGTTTTGTTTGTCTATGCCTTAACGTATGAATCATCATTCTTGTTTCTGATTCATATAATAAAAGTTGTTTTCATTGTTTTGTCATCGTTATCATTTCGGCTTCAGATTCGAAGTTTAGTGGTGTTCTTATTTCGAACAATTATTTTCTCATTTGTAAAATCTTTTGGTCGATGACTTTATCGGCAATTATGGTTGTCATCGAGAGTAGTCCGTTGTCATCCTCGTTAGCATTGCATTTGTCTTTTCCTTTCATCAACTTCTGTTGATCGATTACACTCAATGTTCCTACTTAAACTATCACATAGTGTTTGAGTAGGAACATTGGATGGTGGAATTGATAAATAGTTGAAGTTGACAAGGAAAAAGGCAAATACAGTGGTAGAGGATGACTGGCTACTATCAACGACAATCGTAGCCACTAATGGAGTTATGGACCAAAAGATTTTACAAATGAAAAAAGAGTTGTTTGAAATAAGACCATTAGACTTTAAAACTGAAATGACAATGATGACAAAAAATTGCAAATAATTTTTGTTATATGAATTAAAAACAAGAATGATGATTCATGAGTTAAAATATAGACAGATAGCTCTTAAATAAATTACTAAAGTCCAAAGCAAACTAATTTGTTCTTTTTGTTTGAGCTATTCAACCTTCGCATAATGCGCCTACTCTCGCATACATCTTTCATTGTCATCTTTTATATAGTTCATTACTTATTCATTCTCAGTATATTTTGGACGTAATAATAATATATCGATAATATTGTTTTTTAAAAAATATATATCTTAACAAAGATCACAAGATGAAATTGATAGTGATTTTCTCTTTGGCACTTCCATACTTATTGAATGTAATTTGCATCTTTTGGTGCTTTAGCTTGGATTGAGGACTTTTACTTTTGGTTTACTGATGATCACTTTTAGAATGTCACTCAACTAGTATTACATACAACCTGATTGCTTTATAGCTGCAAATGAAATGTTTTTTTAAGTTAGATTCTGGCTATATTGCATTCTTTTCTCTTAATGAAGATTCTCAGTTGTTCTCTGCAGTCATCAAAGCCAATGCCGTGCTCTGTTTCAGATGCTACTTAAGGGTTCTGTTGTTCACTTATTTCCTTGATCTTACAGCTTGAAATGATGTATATGTGCAAACACTCTCTGCTTGAGATCTTTTGAAGTTGAAGAATCTACTTTGTTATCTTTGTCTTCAGATCGATGTTTCTGATAATTAGCAATTGTGCATATAACGTTGACAAGGAGTTCTTCACATGGATTTGTTGGCTCTTTTCTTTGCAGAAATCGATTTCCTAGTGAGCCCCACGCGTATCTTGAATCGTATATTTAGAGGCATTGGATGAAAATTTTGATTTCAAATCCTTTTCAAGTTGAGGAATCTACTTTGATATCTTTATCTTCAGAACAGTGTTTCTGATAATTAGCAATTGTGCATATGACCTTTTGAAAGGAGTTCTTCACATGGATTTGTTGGCTCTTTTCTTTGTAGAAATCGATTTCCTAGTGAGCCCCATGATCATATATTTAGAGGCGTTGGACGAAAATTTTGGTTTCAAAGCGCTAGTATCAACTGTCTGGTTTAGATGTCATGAAGGTGGATATCAGGGAACATAGGCGAAGTTATTGTGGAGGCTACTCCCACCACTTCCCTCTATTTCCATCTCATGTTTTCTTGAAGGGAAAATATGTAGTTCAATTAATCCATTGTAAAGCATGCCTTAAAGTTGAACTTCTACTTGAAACAAGAAAGCATGAGATGTTAAAAGGTGAGATGTTATATGGAAGGGAATTTTCTGTGCTTGGTTTTGTTGATAAATGTTTGTCCATTTATTCTTTTAATTCATTTACGCAATCCCCCTTCACATGTTGTTTGATTTGAGGTTTGGTTTATATTTTGAATTTCATACTTTCTTCCTCATCTTCTCTGATACCTTTCCCCCTTCTCAATTCGGATGTCTACTGCAGGTTCTGGGAGTTGGAGGGCGCAATATTTCAGAAAGTTGAATGCAACCTTATTCCTGTACAATGCATCTGTAATGAAAGTGTAAAGAAGACGAATATGTGTGCTGACACAGAGGGGGTTATATCTGCTGAAAATTAGTAGGAAAAGGACAAGAAATGAAAAGGTCCCGGAATCCCTTACCCGCAAAAAATTCACTCATGTCCCATTCGGCCCACTATCGCTTATGCAGCAGCAGTGAGCAGACACGCGGTGCTCCTGTCCTCCTCCTGACACCGTACGATGCCCACCATCTGTGGTCTCAACCGTAGATTCTCCTCCTCATCCCCCATCGCCCCCCAAAAGGCAGCCCGAGAATAAAGGGGCCGGCGAAACCCTACAAAACCCCAATCCCTCAATCCTCCTCCCCTCCGGTTATGGACCCTCGCCGCGTTCCCCGCACCGTCAGCGACCCAAAGGTCCGCCAAGTCGGATTCTTTACCCCACCGGATCGCTCTCAATCGGGACCGCCGGCGCCGACGTCCTCGTCGCCTCCTGTGTCGGACGTTTCCCCCTCCGGCAACTCGCTGTCCCCCGTCATGATCCCTCCGCCGCGCCACCTCTCTACGGATCTCTCCCGTCCGTTTACCCAGGCTCCGCCTCTTTCCCCTCTCCGCGTTGTTCGAGCTGCGGATTCTTCTGTCCCTATCGGCAGTTATAATCCATCTGAATTCCAGTCGACCTCTGTTGCTACAACGGAGGTCGCAGAGGAGCAGTTGTCCCCTAATTGGGGCCGTGGAGCTGTTTCTGGAAAGTTTGCTACTTCGCTGCCGGCTGGTGCGCTTGATTCGGCGTTGGTTAAGAAGAATAGTATTGGTAATTTGCCCCCTGGTAGGCTGTTCTCCCTGATTGTTCTTTCTATGCGATTGTAGTTTGTTGGGCCACATTTTAGGTTTGGTATTGACGAAATTGTGGAATAGATGGAAGGCAAAGGGAGGAGATGCAGGAGGAGCAAAGGGCAGTGGATGAAAAGCCATTAAAAGAGAAGACAACGAAAGCAGAGAGACGGGCAATTCAGGAGGCACAGAGAGCTGCAAAAGCTGCTGCTAAAGGTGCTACGTTTTCACTTTTGTTAATTTTTTTGGGATGTTTGTTTGTTTTCTGATCTTCATCTTATTTGAACTTTGTTGGGAACTTTATCTGCTGATTTGTGTTGAGATTGTTGATGAAGAGAATTGGGTAATATGTTGATTAGTGAATATGTTCGTTTTGCCAAAGGTTTCTTATGTTGTGTTAATCTTAGAGGGATGAACCAAGTTAGTTCTTGATTCAAAGAGTTAAAAGCTCCTTGGGATGATCCTCCTGACAGCTGTCATAATCGGAAATTTTAACTCATCCGGGCAATTAGCGAGTGCTTGTGAAAGTTCTTCTAGTTGTAATCTCCAGAAACTATTGCCATTCTTGACCAATCTTCGAAATAAGATAGTAGTTTAGTTTTGAGTGCTTGTTAATAAATGATGGGAGTTAACACACTCTACTTGTCATATCAAAATGGCTTTCTATAGTTGGAATATTTATACGCATGATAACAATGATAAAGCTGCATTTTGATCTATCTTCAGACGACAAAAGTGTAACTATCTCTGGTGTCACGTGTACATGCTTTGAGGTTCTTAGATCTTTCCTGATGAATTTTATTGAAACAAATCCGACGTAGCACCTGTTTCATTAATTGCTTCATTTGGCGTTTCTATAGAACATTTTTGTTGTTTTCTTGTTTTGATCTTATGCTTGCGATGGAATAATGTTCTGTCAGTAAATAGTTTAACACGTCATCTTTATGCGATCATACTGAGACTCGTGGCTTTATAGGTGAAGGAAATAAGACATCTGCTGCTACTGCCAATCGAGCACAGCCTAACACAGGTAAGTCAAAGGCCATTTCGCAAAAGAAAGACAGCTCATCAATCGCAGCCTCTGAAAAGAAAGGTAGTGATCGCCAACAAGATAAAGATAGGAAGAAAGACGTTCCTCATCCACGGATGCAATTTGATGATGCAAACAGAGTTGAGAAGGCAAAGAAGCGATCTGTAGTAAAACAAACTGAAGCTAGGAATCGAGTTGAACTCTTTAGGCACCTACCTCAGTATGAACATGGAACTCGACTTCCTGATTTGGAATCAAAGTTCTTCCAACCACATCCTGTTCACCCTGCTGTGTACAAGGTAAGTTTAAGTTCTCCGACATTTTTTTTGATCTATTTTCCTCTTTTGGTTCTTGAAATTTCTTAAATGAAATTGGCAATAGGGAAGTTGACTAAAAATATTTAATATGCTCACTTCAATTAATTGTCTTGGGAGCTAGAACATTGATGGATTATTTTGGCATATATTTTGCATAATTCTTTGGTTTATTTATTTATTTATTTCTTCTCTAGGCCTATACCCTTATATCATCATATATCTAAACACAACCATAGCATCTTGTCTTCACATTTTTTTGAATTTGTGTTTTGGCATTAAACAAACATAACTACACCCTCATTTGGTGTCCTGAACTCCTGATATAGTAACAATATTAGATTTTGATGCGGCTACAATTTCAGACAAGAAGAGTACATAGAAAAACTATATAGGCTACAGAATTCTGCCAAAAGAAAAAAACTGTACACGTGGATGTGTTTGATTGGTTTTCTTGTTTTTTGGTTTGGTTTTTTGTTTAAATAGGGTTTCAATGTGGTGATTTGTGAAAGGAAATAGTGTGTTTTTATAGAGAATCGTAAAAGTTTAGTAGAAATTTTGAAAATAATTGCAAAAAAGGCACATGCTTCTTTCTTAATATTATTTCCAACTGATGGAAAAGTGTTAAAGCAAACTTTCTTTTACATTACATATGTCAGGTTGGACTGAGATATCTAGCTGGCGATATTTCTGGTGGCAATGCCCGGTGCATTGCCATGCTTCAAGCTTTCCAAGAGTCGATAAAGGATTACTCAACGCCATCAGAGAAGACCTTAATAAGAAGGGACTTGACAACAAAGCTAAATGGTTACGTCTCTTTTCTGATTGAATGCAGGCCCCTTTCAATCAGCATGGGGAATGCAATTAGGTTTCTCAAAACCCGAATTGCCCAATTGCCTGAGAATCTGTCTGAGTCAGAGGCTAAAACCAATCTCATATCTGATATTGATCGTTTTATAAACGAGAGAATTATTCTAGCTGATAAGGTGATTGTGAAGCATGCCGTAACCAAGATTGTGAATGGTGATGTTCTTCTCACATATGGATCGTCCTCTGCTGTCGACATGATATTGTTGCATGCCCATGAGCTCGGTAAACAGTTCCAAGTGGTTGTAGTGGATTCGCGTCCGAAGCTTGAAGGCCAGAAATTACTTCGCAGGCTTTTGGGGAAGGGTATTAAATGCACATACACTCATATAAACGCCGTTTCTTATATCATGCATGAAGTCACTAAGGTACTCTTGGGTGCTTCGTCGGTGCTGTCTAACGGAATGGTATACTCAAGAGTCGGCACTGCGTGTGTTGCCATGGTAGCTCATCAGTTCCGCGTGCCAGTTTTGATATGCTGTGAGGCTTATAAGTTTCATGAAAGGGTTCAGCTCGATTCAATTTGCTCCAATGAACTCGGTATGGATTTTATTTAGTGAAGGAAGTTTATTACCCTAACAGATTGCTGCATTATTGCTACTGCGTATCATTGTAGGTGATCCCGACGTCATTTCAAAGGTTTCGGGTCGGAAGGAGATCGGCTATTTAAATGATTGGGCCAACATCGAAAATCTGCAGCTTTTAAATTTGTTGTAAGCATGATTTTAATTTCGTAATTTCCATCTCGTTAACGTTCTACAATCTTATCACTGCGCTCTTTCCATCTAACAGCTATGACGCAACACCTTCAGACTATATATCAATGATTGTTACCGACTATGGCATGGTAAGTTTTACAGATCTTATTAAACATTTGATACATGAACTGTTCGATTGTTCTACTTCCATTTGTTGCGTTGATATTCTGTGACGTTCTTTAGATCCCACCGACTAGCGTACCTGTTATAGTCCGAGAATATAATAGAGAGCACTTGATGATATAAAGATGAGCGGCGCTCGGGGATGATGTTACAGACAGCACACAAAATCTGATGTTCGACATTCTTCTTATTGTGTCCCTTTAGTCCGAATAATCTTTTTTTTTTGGCCTCAGCATGAGTTGATTTAACTTTCTGGCCTCTCGCCCGCCCTCCCGAGACTCTGTGAAGAGGCGAATGTTCCGCCTCTCCTGGCAATTTTTGACAGTTTTTGGTTGTTCTTCCATATCTGTGTCACTGGTGAGTGAGTGACTACTTTTTTTGTATGCATTTCTTGTGTTGTAGATTTTGAAAGATTCATCGATTTCATGTAATAATTTGACTTCTACAACAATTCATAAAATTGTATGTGCGTAGTTATTGTTTTGGGCTCTGATTGGATTGCGTATATATTTTGGAAGCTTTTGTACTATTTAAATTGGTTAAATTATACAAAATTTACGGGTGATTTTACGAAATTATGTTAAATTTTTCGTACTTGCGTCAAAATTTTTTTGTTTCATAAATTTTGTGTTTAATCCCAGCGGCCCATGATATTGAATTTAAATGCATGCAATTAGATTTTATGCAATTTAGTCATTAAATTTAAAGATTTTCTTTGTGAATGTGTTTAACTTTATTATGATCAACAAGCAGGAAAAGTGCTTCACTTAATTCTGCTGACAAATTTGAATTAATCAAAGTTGCAAGGATTACCAATTTCACTTTTGATTACCAATTTTCAATTATTTAGAAATAAAATACTACATGGGCTCTTTTATATACATATACTTTTTAGAAAATTTCAATGTCATCTATGTAGTGATACTATTTATTCTTTTTTTTTTTTTAAAAAAAAAATTACATTAAACGGACGAATGCAATTTTGTATTTATTGAATAAAAAACCCCAAAGTAAGAAAAGCATCTTTTTACCTGGCCTCAGTTGAAAGACAACGAATACAAGTAGCTTTTTCGACGTTGGATTTTACTATTAATTAGTTAATTATACATCACTAATGAATAAAAAAATTCAAAAGAATTTATCAGTTTCCCTTATCTTCAAATTTATGTCCTGGTGGCCAGCTACTCCATTCCCGATGCCTCTCAGTCGTTATACAACAACAATAATTATTGGGAGCTCCAAAAGTGCTCACACCAGGAAGAATCTCCACCGTCTACAGGAAGGAGCCTACTTCTTTAACGGTGTAGATCTGTTTGGTTTTAGTCCCGGGAGCTTCAACAAACAGACCTACACACGCCACATACAGCGTGGCATTACGATTCAGCGTATAATTTCCATTCCAACCCCTGAAATTACACAAACACCCCCCAAATCTCCGCCTTTTCAAATCCTGGTCTTCACCATCCAAAGAAGGGTAATTTCGTCCCAAGATTAGTCTTCGCTGCCAAGGCTCCCACGTTCGTCCCAGAAAGGCGGCCGAACAAAATACCAAAAATAGCCTCATCCAACGGATATAAACGAATGGCGTCTGTGGGCAGAAAGGTCATTTCAAGTTAGCCGAACTGCTGTCGGGACATAAGATTGGAAAAGAAACAGGAGAACGTGAGTGATCCGCGCACACCACGAAAGGCGACTCTGCGGAAAAGCTAAGCCAGAGAGAGAGAGAGACGATTTGGGGGAGAGAGAGAGCTGATCTCGTGACGTTTGCCGGATTTCGAGTCGTTCTATTCACCGGAGTTTGGGAACTCTGTTGGCGTCCGCAATCAGGGTTCCCTGAAAATTAGGGTTTCGATTTGGTACCTCCTTAGTCGAAATTAACTCCTCCATTCGCTGAATTCGTTTCATCCTTTATCTTCTTTGGTCGTTTCGATTGAGCTGGTGCTCCGATCTGCGAAGCGGCTGTAAGATGTTTACGCCGCAGAAGAAGTTTTGGCCGCTGACGCCGAGGACGGAGCCGAGCTCGAAGAAGTTAACTCTTTCGGGACTTGGTTCTGGCGCAAATCCTAATTCAGTAACTCCGAGCAATGGAGAAGCGTCGGCCCGAGGGAAAGCGGTTGGTTTTGTTGAAGGCGATGGGAATATGGAGGCAGAGTCTTTGACTGAGAGGGTTTCGAGGCTCGAGAATGAGGTTAGTGAGCTTGTTTTGTACGATAAATAATCCGCTTTCATCTGGTTATTACTGTACCTAATTCCTTATTTTTTTTCGATATTGGTTGCTTGTCTAACAATTTTGACTGATTTGTTCAAAGCGTAGTATAGTATCTTAGTATGTTTCAGATCAGTTCAGATTTAAGAAAAATTTACGGTGTTTTACTGGCGTTTGCGTAATTAGTAAGATGGTCGTGTAGTTTGTATCTTACCCACTTCAAAATTCATGAATGCGCTTTAATAAAGTAGCAAAGTTTGGTGAGATCATGTACTTTTTTTTTTGGTGATTTTATTACTATATTGGAGTATAATTCGACCACCAAGGCGATTTATGGTGAAATTGGCAGGCCCACTAGCAACTAGATCTATCAATAGACCAATCCCGTGATTCGATTTTTGGCCTTAGTGTTTCAGAGTGTGGATAAAAGAGGATATTGGAGAATATGGAATTGCCTTGTTTAGGAAATGTAGCTTCAATAATCAGGAAAAGTGATGAAATCACCTGCATTATACTTTGCCTTGTTCTTACTCAACTACCTTTGAACTTTCTTTGTCCATTCGGTAGGAGAGGGTTTCAAATGAAAAATCGGATGAATCCTTAATGTTGTGTTTGGATTACTACTACTGCAATTGGGATTTTGAAATCATCGTGGAATATGTATAATTTCTAGATCTGCAAAAAGTATAAAAGAAAAATTGCGGGTTCTTTACCAAAGGCCTAATTGTATACTATTTGGGGTTTCCATATTTAGATATAGTTCTCCAAATTGCAAACCACGTGCTACATTACTTTATCATGAAGGATTTGTTTCCCCTATGATATTGAGTGAACCAATCTTCAGTTCATATGAATCACATGGTTTTGGTGATTATAAAATTTTGCCTTGGACCCTATTTAGTATGTTCTTAGGAAACTTGTCACAAAAATATTGGGTATGCTTGTTTAGCTTTGAAAATTCATCTATATTTTTTAGTGTTGATGCAGATATAACATAATATGATGGTAATGCCTAAGATGAATAGATGCTCACTTCATTTGACAGATGTTTGATATAATTCTATTGCCCTTTTTTGTTCAAAACTTATTATGGTCATGATAATATCCTGCCATAATGAATTTACTGACGAGTTGATTTCTTTCAGCTCTTTGAGTATCAATACAACATGGGCCTTCTTTTGATTGAAAAGAAAGAGTGGACTTCAAAGTCCGAAGAATTAGCACAATCTTTAGCAGAAGCTACTGAGAGCCTAAAAAGAGAGCAAGCGGCTCATTTAAGTGCACTGTCTGAGGTGGAGAAGCGAGAAGATAGTTTAAAGAAAGCACTGGGTGTTGAAAAGCAGTGTGTGGTTGATGTAAGTTTTTTTCTTTGCATATTTTTTTAGCTTTAACATAAATTTTCAGAATGAGGGCCCAGATTTCGATGTGATTAACCATTATTAGGTATCCCTGTCGGAGGGGGTATCCATAGCGAAGTTCTAGTGCGTTGCATTTTGTACTTGTATGTGAAGACCTACAGCTCCTAAGGTTGTATGGCCTCTCATTTTTTGACATTGTACATGCTGCATATATTAGAAAAGAAATGCCGCAATAACTCTCTATGGCATTACATTATTAAGTGTGGTGTTTAAAAGGAACACCATATAATTTTACATGTTCTCCAGATGTATAATTTCTTAAAGTCGGTATATTTATGCTACATGATAGGATCTGACTTTGCATGTCTTGTTTGTCGCAGCTTGAGAAGGCAGTGCGTGAGATGCGATCAGAATATGCTGAAATTAAGTTTAATGCCGATTCAAAACTGGCTGAGGCTAATGCATTAGTTGCTAGTATTGAGGAGAAGTCATTGGAGGTTGAAGCCAAATTCCATGCGGCTGATGCCAAACTTGCTGAGGCAAGCAGGAAAAAGTCAGAAATTGAGAGGAAGTTGCGTGAGTTGGAGACTCAAGAAAATGCACTTCGAAGAGAACGGTCATTGTTCACTTCAGAGTATGCTTCAGGCTCTTAATATTATTTTCATCATGTTACTTTCACAGCATCCCTAACTTTTTTAGGTTTACATAGACGATGATATATGTGTGCGGCTCGTGTATATCCTGAAATGGAAGTTACATTTTCTCAGGCGTGAGACACGTGATGCTTCTATAGCTAAACAAAGGGAAGATTTGCGGGAGTGGGAAGATAAATTACAAGAAGCTGAGCAGAGGCTGGCTGACAGTAGAAGGTTGCTGAACCAAAGAGAGGAAATGGCTAATATGAGTGATAAAAGCTTGAAAGAAAAGCAGAATGAACTTGAAGAATTAAGGAAAAAAATTGAAGCTGCTAATTCAACACTGAAGAACAAAGAAGATGATATAAGCTCTAGACTAGCAAATGCATCTCGTAGGGAGAAGGCAAGTTTATATCTTAGATTGGATTTTCACCATGGATATTTTGATACTTCTTGTTGCATGTCTTACCTTTACTTTCAATTGATTTGTCGATGCAGGAAGCTGATGAGGTTAGGAGGAAATTGGAGGAGAAAGAAAAAGAATTGTCGGAGCTGGCAGAGAAGTTAAATGCTAGGGAAAAAGTGAGCCTCTATACACTTGATGATTAGCTTTGTAGACATGGTTAATATATCGAGAATTATACTTCTTGGTCCTTTTTATTATTTTTTTGTCTGCACTTAATCATTGCTAGATTACTTTGCTTGGAAAAACTTCATTTGTTACTATATCTTTGCTTTCTTTGTGTATCTCTGCATTACTTATCGACTTTTTATGATACATGCAGTTGGAGATTCAGAAGCTGTTGGATGAACACAAGCGTGTGCTGGCCGAGAAGGAGAAGGAGTTTGAATTGGAGATGGAGGAGAAGAGAAAATTGCATGATGAGCAGTTGAAAAACAAGGTGGTTGACTTGGAGAAGAAAGAAACTGAAATTGCACACATGGAAGAAAAAGTGAAGAAGCGAGAACAGGCCATTGAAAAGAAACAGGGGAAAGTGAGGGAGAAGGAAATGGATGTCGATTCAAAATTGAAATCTTTAAAAGAAAGGGAGAAGTCACTTAAAACTGAGGAGAAGGACTTTGAAAAAGAGAGAGAACAAATACTTGCAGAAAAGGAAGATTTGCTCAAAGTCAAAGGTGAGGTTGAGAATCTCAAGGCAGAGACCGAGCAACTGCAGCTGAAGGTAACCGAAGAGAGGGAAAAGCTGAAAGTAACCGAAGAAGAAAGAAGCGAGCTTTCACGACTACAATCAGAGTTGAAACAGGAAATAGAGAATTACAGATTCCAAAACGAGCAACTTACCAAGGAAGCAGAGGATTTGAGGCTGGAAAAGGAGAAATTCGAGAAAGAATGGGAGGAACTTGATGATAAAAGAGCTGAGATAAAGAAAGAACAAGAGGTAGTTCAGATGCAGAAAGAGCAGTTTGAAAAACTACAGCAATCCGAACAGGAAAGACTACAGAATGAGAAGCTCGAAACGCAGAAATATGTTCAGAGGGAATTGGAAGCTCTTAGATTGGCAAAAGATTCTTTTGCTGCTACCATGGAGCATGAAAAGTCAATATTGGCTGAAAAGACCGAAAGCGAAAAGTGCAAGCTGATCAATGATTTCGAATTGCATAAAGAAGAACTCGAGACGGAACTTCAGAGGAAGCAAGAAGATATGGAGAATCGCTTGCATGAGAGGGAAAAGTCATTTGAAAATGAGCGAGACTTGGAACTCAATAACATTAATAAGCTGAGGGAAACCGTCAGGAGAGAAATGGAAGATATGAAGTTGGAAAAACATCGGATCGAGAAAGACAATCTAGAACTTTCCGAGAATAAGAAGCATGTGGAGGCGCAACAGCATGAGATGCGAAAAGATATCGAGGAGCTTGCCGGCTTGATTCAGAAGTTGAAGAATCAAAGGGAACAATTCATCAAGGAACGAGAACGCTTCATATCATTTGTCGAGGAACAGAAAAACTGCACTACTTGTGGGGAAGCTATTCGTGATTTTGTGCTCTCCGATCTCCATCCTTTAAACGAACTCAAAGCTCTGGAGGCTCCTCCCCTATCAAGGGTTGCCGAAAGTTATTTGAAAGAGACGGTTGAAGTGACAGCGGAGAGGGTCGCCACTGGATCATCCCCTGTTCCTGTTAATTCTGGATCTCCTTCTGCTGTCGGAACCCTATCTTGGCTTCGGAAATGCACGACAAAGATATTTAAATTCTCACCTGGGAAGAAACTTGAACTCGACTATGCTCAGGATGTCGCGGGGACATCAGCAGTGGACGAGCAAGTTGTTGGTTCGGAAACAATACCAGCTGACGAAATGGAGCCGCAACCTTCATTACAAGTCGTAAATGATTCTTTTGATGTCCAGATAATAGAATCCGATAGCGCCATTAGGGGCGTTGAAACTACTCAAGCTCTGTCCGTCGATCATGATCCAGTTAACATCCCTGAAAATTCTCAGAATTCCGGTAGAAAGGCAATCCGCCGTGGACCTGGCAGAGGAGGTAGGCGTAAATCTGGTAGAACACAATCTGAAACAGCTGCGGCAGCTGGTTCTGAGACCAACGGAAATGCCGAAGATTCTGTTTACACTTATGATGAAAGTCAAGCAGAATCTGAACTTGTTAGATCGCCAAAAGGGGCAAGAAAGCGAGGCCGGGTTCGCGAATCCCAAGCAACTGTGAGCGAGACCCAAACTGAAGGTCATTCGGATAGCATTAAGGATGGTGATCGCCCAAAGAGGCGACAGAGAGTTGCAGCAGCAGGAGCAGGAGCTGAACAAAGTCTTCCTCCGAAACGTTACAATCTCAGACAGCAACCCAAGAAGTAAGTTATACTCCACTTTACAGCATCATGATTAATTAATTACCGATTTTCGATTAACCGACCTAATTCGAATTAAATTCGAAAATTTCTATTCGGTAATTTGGTAATTCGGACAATATTCGGATATGCCGAATTCGATATTTTAGAAATTAGTTCGAATTTGGTTTTACCATTTTTTAATTCGGATTTACCTATTTCGAATTCAAAATTGTATTTTATTTAATATTATATATACATATATATATTTTTTATTTTTCAAAAAAATAACTTTATATGACACCAATTCACCAAATATTTTATATTATATTATATTATTTTATTTATATTTAATTATATTAGTATAATATTTTTAAAATAAATTAATAAATTTAAATCATCATAATTCAAATTTATTATGTTTATATTGAATTCGATTAATTCAATAAATACCGAATTCAAATTAATTTCGAATCGAGAAATTGAAATTGTAAAATATAAATTTGAAATTGAATTTGGTCGGAATTTTTTTTTAAGAAATTTCCGAAACAATCGAATTCAAATATCCGAATTACCAGTTTCGTTTTCGATGTACACTGCTATGTTTTAGGTTTTTTGGAGGAATAGCTCGACTAATTTGTTTTCGGTTTTTAGATACTTATCATCATCATCATCATCTTATCTTCTCAGGTCGGTCGTTAACGGGCCCCTACCCCAAAAAAGGAAGGGTAGGGGTAAGGGAAAGGGTAAGGAAACTGAGCAGGTGAGCATGGAAGTTAATCTGTCGGAGAAAGCTGAAGCATTGAGGGAAGAAATGAATGAAACTGGAGCAGCGGCTTCGATTCCTAGAAGATCTTGCGACGGAGAAGGTGATGATGCCGCTGTTCAATGCACTGGGGTTGCCAGTGAGTTCTCTGCGGACAGTCCTGTGAGTATAACGTAACCATAAATACACGACACAATACTGGGTTTCAGTTTCCCATGTGTATATCATATCTATCATCTTTGTTGATGTCCATTTTCCGATACAGTTTAAGAATGGTGGGGAGCATGGTGGGATAGGAAACATGGATGAGGAGGTGAACGGAGGAGGGGCAGCTGAGGAAGCTCGAAACTACAGTAACGAAGAACTCAAGACGGAGAGCCATGGAGACAGTGGCGACAATGATGGGGACGGAGATGACGATGAGGTGAATCACCCTGGCGAAGTATCTATTGGGAAGAAGCTCTGGACATTCCTCACCACGTGAAGCATGAAGTATATATATATAACTTTGACGCTATCACGACCACAACCAAGTAAAGTATTTTTCAACTCTGACTTTCTATTATTACATTTGAGGTATATTTCATCTCGACTTAGTTGTTGTGTGTATGAATTGATGAAGGAATTAGTTTATCCGAAAACATAGAAATCGATTGAGGCACTGCTCTAGGGCGTCTTCCCTTTCCCACTAGGAAGTTGGGGTCGGTTTGCCATTTTAGAATTTGCAGATAGCAAGTAATGAATGTGTAGCATTCTTATTCTAGCTGTACTGTCTGTCCGTCTCCGTCGCACTCTTGAGATAATATTTGTTTGTATTGATTGCGAAACTGCTAATGGCTGGCTGGCTTGTGGGTTTTATTTGCTATGATATTTTCATGTGGTTAAATTTTCTGCTATGGTATAATTATTATTATTATTATTATTGAGAGGTCAGGTGCATTAGTTTTATTAGCATTTGTGTTTATATACACACTCGATCCTAAGATCAATGTTTAAGAATCGCCATAAATTACGAGTTGAATATACATTAATTATCAGCGCGATTGCCCGTACCAAAAATCATTCACAATCATATTGTAGCTCAAGCTTCTTTGTTGACTTAGTCCCGAGTATCCATAGTCATACGCGGGACTACGATCCCATGTAGGGGGGCTAAAATCACTATGTATTAGAGGGCTTACTCTACCAATGTCCGAGTAGGATCTTCCAAACCTAAACCTCCACAGTGAGGGGATAGGTATGGAGTCGCAGCCAGGAGGGGGAGGGGGAGGCACCTCATATGCCGAGCCCCTGTCCCAATTTCCTTCGGCATAGTGCCGATGGCTCCAATAATTTTCTGACGAGTGTTTATAATCCAGGCAGTGTGAAGTATCTCTATATTGACATGGCCTCAAAGGGGCTTGCAGGGGCAGAGGTAGTGATTCCCAGGCTCTCTCGTCGGCATTTTCTGGTATCGGAGCATTTATCCCTGGAAATTGTACGGTCATTTTCGGATATGGCTTAGCTTTACCTGCATCGATAACTTTCCCATCCTCGATTTCATTTTCATTTTCCGAATCACCAAAAATTGTAATCCCCGATGGCTGATCATCCACTTCTTCAACTGAAATATCATGAAAAATGGACCGTACCTCAAGTAAGAATGTAGTAGAACTCGAGAGCCCGGTTAACATCAAGGGATGAAAGTAGGGAGTTTAACGAACTTTTACCTAAGTAGCCTGGAGGGTATCCCATTTCGCGCATTCTGTTAAGCCATGGAGGTGGACTGAGCGCCTACATACACAATGTTTGTGCAAACATACATAAGATCTTTCAGTAAACTACTTATTCGTTAGAGTGACAAGCCACATATGCCTATCTATTCAATCCATTATTTGTTCAATGCAAGAGGTTTAAGTACCCCTCAAGCTAGTTAGGGTGTGCTTCTTTCTGGCCTCAATTGAGTTTGGAGGTTTGAATTTGTTTACTTAAATAAGATTTGATCTGATAATAAGTAGAGACTCAAAAGAAACACACCATATCTTCAAAAAGATAAAGATAGATTGGCTTACCCCAAGACCCCAAGACCCATGGCGCGGCGTGTATCGGCATCTAGACAACCCGGTGCCAAGCCATCATATTTCCCCCCTCGCGAACTTTGATAATATCGAATTGAATTACTAGAATTGGCATGTTGCTTCTTTTTGGCCTTGTGCTGTTCCCAGGCATCATGGATAGCCACATTATCGCGTGGCTTGGGGCATTCTTTCACGCCATGGTTGTACGATCCACAGTTGAAACAACGGGATGAATGCAACGTTTCAACACCTCTGCAAGATTAAAGAAGACATCGCATGTAGTTAGAATGTGATGTAGATATACTTGTATAATAGCATTTCGCCATATCTCCTCCAAACAATCTATAAAACCTCAAATGACGGATCAAAATAGAAAACTTCCTAATCATCTACAACCAATAATACCTGTCTATTTTACTAGAGCCATCAGCTGAAGTCAAAACTAAAGAACATCCACGGTCATACAGTGGCACGGATGAGAAATCGAGTGGCGTAACTTCTTTATCCAACTGTGTCTTTGTCTGGCCATCCACCCAAAAAAACTACATATATTTTCAAAACAAAGTAACCGCATATTGGAAGTATGATCTTGCAGGTAAATGTATTCACAGATTGTACCATCAAAGACACTGCAAAGCACATTACTTGAGACAACTATTTCATTTGCAGTAGTGTCGAAGCACAGTTAAACTAATAGTTAATCTTTCATTTGCATAATTTCTTCCGAGTTGCAGAATAAAAGCTAATACACATTTTTTTACATCCGAAAACAAGGTATTCGAATCAACTAAATCAATGCTGGATAAATACTTAACAGAAAGAGAACCATACAATGTCATAAGGCTCATCTGAGCAGACTCTAAGAGCCGGAAAGTAGGCAGATTCTCCAGATTCCACTGTAGCATTAAAATCCTGATTTCAGTTTGAGCAAACATACCGCAATTTGAATAATGAAACCCACAGGAAATACAGGTGAATTTTACATATGCTAGTGAAGAAGAGCCAAAAAATTTACATCTGAAGATGAGCAGTACTGCGAATGCCATCGAGACCACTGCAGCAACAGCTCTTCAAGCTTTTGTTTACTCTCTCTAAGGACGATAAAAAAATTCATCAAATTGTGTCACCATTCAAAGGAAAACCGCAGCCGAAAAAGAGTGCATACCTCGGCAAGAAATCGTAAATTATGTGCACGGAAGCTTGGCGGTGTTCATCAACAGCAATTCGTGGTCTCTTATGGCCAGAAATCACTGGAATTTTGAGTTACAGAAAGAATAAAACTATGAAATATGAAATTAGGTTTATCACCGGAAGAGAGGCGTTTCAAATCCTCGAATTATAGCAAGCAATACAAACATATATTGAAAAAGGATACACATACCACCCAACTCTCTTCTACTCGTAAGAGCCCCATCTTCCTCGCGGTTGCGAGGTCCGCTTTTACTCGGAGCAGCTAGAGAACCGTTTACGTGAAGAGAATGAACGATACTGCTGCCGTAGGGCTTTTTTTCATAGTCAGTGTCCGCCGAAGTATCCACATCCATACTTCCGATTACTCCATCCGCTATAGCTTCAGACGCGTCGTCTGTTAGCTGCGAGTTTGGAGGTTCGGAATCTGATTTCATGGCGTCGGAAGCAGATACCGAAGGATCATCAATCTCACTTCCATGCTCTGTACAACTCGAATTAAAAACTCCAAAAAAATCCTGAGTCACCATGGCACGCTAGATCTATTCGGAATTTCAACTGTAGAATTGCACTGCAAGGAAGAAACGCGTGAGTCGACCGACCACCTAAAAATCCCTCAACAAACACTAGCGGACCAAAAATCTCGTACTTCCGGCTTGGAATAAACTTGGCCAGATTAACGAACGAACGACCGAATGCTTGCAGATTATATTAAGCACTCTGCAACTCGATTTCGCGCGGAGAATCCGGGGGAGGCGAAGCAAATAATTTTCGGTACAGGAAGCGAGGACTAAGACCAATCAATAATTTGAACCCCAACGCCCCGGCGCTCAGAAAATGCCAATTATGGATATTCGACGACGGGGAAATAACGGCGGCCTTAAGAAATTTTAGGGTTTACAACTGGGTGTGTTGGTTTGGGAGTTTGATTTTGATTTGGGATTTGAATCGTAAAAATTTTGAATTTGAACTGTTGTGTTTGATGTGACATGACGTAAATAGGTATTAATGCGATGTTTTGAATATAAAATTAATTTTTAATATAATATAAAAAATAAAAAATAAATATTTAATTTGATTTTTTAAATAAAAAAATTTGTTGAATAATGTAAATCCAATCCCGAAACGTATTTAAAAAAGGAAAGTACACTGAATGATTTTCGAAAGGGTTTAGATTTTATAAACAAATAAATGTATAGTTTTATTTATTTATATTTATAAATATATATATATATTTTTTTTTTACAAAATAACACTTATTACAATATTTAAATAAATATTTAGAAAAATTTAATAATATATAAATTTATTAAATTTATTTTTAAATTATTAATATCATTTATTATATAAAATAATAAAAATAATATTATAATAATTATTATTAACTAAATAAATATTATTATCTTAAAATACTTGTCACAGGTGAAAAAAAATCAATTATTTTTAAAGAGCATATCCTTAAAATCCGTTAAAATTACATTATTATTATATTTTTATAATTGTTTGTTAAATTTATAAATAATAAAATATCTATTTATATTTTTATCATTGAAATTTAATAAATAATAGCTAATTTATTGATATTTTTATTAATTATTTAGTAATTTTTTATAATATTTTCATTTTCATTTTCATTTATTTAGATTTTATTTCAAAATTATTATTTTAAAATTTCTTCAAAACAAAAAATACTTAAGTTTTGGGAACGGGCAACGGGGTGAGTACCATATGTATTATTGTGTTATGTTACTCCGTTTAATTTTGTATTGTATCAAAAAATTGTTTACAATCTATTACACCAACTATTATCTAAAATACAAAGGTATTTTATCAGTACATTCAAACCTAGTACTAGTACTATGTTTGATCGCGTGAGGAGTGAATTTATGACGGTAAGAAAGGTCATGGGTTTTGCCAATATAATTCGTCTAGTAGCACACTTTCGGATATTTTGATAGCGATTGCGAATTTTCACGTTATAAAAAACAAAAATCAGGACTCCACTTAAACAAATAGAGTATTCTTTATTCCAAAAAAATATGTTAAATATTTGAAAAATATCCTTAAAAATAATTCAAGATAAAAATTTATACGCTGTCCAAATAGAATTTACATATTTCCAAAACTGACAGACAAAAAAAAAACGAACAAGAAGAGAATCAACCATCACCATAACAACAACAGACAGCCTCAGATCATTCCAAGATCCTCAGCTCAGCTGCCCCAGCTAGTATTCGAATTGTTGTATATGTCCGAGCCATAATCGTGGCTCCCGAACGCCATCCGCTGGAACATCCTGATCTGCGCCGAATGCTCCCTCGAGCTGAACACGCCGCTCTGCCCCGGCCTCGTCCCGTTGTTCAGATCCGCCATCTCCTCCATCGAATCTAATGCTCGAACTATCTGCAACACCGCGCCGAACAGAACCAATCAGTATAACGGGAAACGGGGTCGGGGCGCGACCGCGACGACGAATTACGCTTACCTGGCTCATCCGCGGTCGTTTAGACGCTGAATGTCGCACGCACGCCGCAGCAGCTTCGATCATCCGGAACATTTCACCTGCGACGAAGTTGTTTTCCAGCCGAGGATCTACTAGTTCACTGAAATCTTCGCGATCCAGCGCTTGAGTCAGCAACGGCCGCGCCTGCGTCGCAATAAAAATTTGGGTTCGATGAAAATTTTTTATCTAAATAATTTCCGATAGATGTTTGCGTAATTGCGTACCCATTCGACCAGGCTTTCGTCCCCGAGCGGTTGAGACGGGTCGACAGGCTTACGACCCGTGATGAGCTCCAGAAGCACGACGCCGAATGAAAATACATCGGATTTCTCAGTGAGTTTTCCCGTCGACGCATACTCCGGCGCCAAGTATCTGCGAACCATCCCGGCAGTACAATAAAACGTCGATACAAAAACCATTATGTATACATAAAACGGCGACTAACCCGAAGGTTCCCATCACGCGAGTCGACACATGGGTGTGTAAATCCAATTCTAGCGCCAGTTTCGCAAGCCCAAAATCGGCGACCTGTCGACAGGCAACGAAGACGTTAGTTTAAGATGCGTCGTTGCTTTAAGACATACGATAGATAGAACGTAGTCCGTACCCGAGCTTCATAGTTGTTATCCAAGAGGATATTGGTCGACTTAATATCGCGGTGAATGATCCGAGGTTGGCCTGATAAATGCAATCGAATCATTACCAACATTTAACGATGTCGTAGGAAATATTCGAACAGAGAATAAAGAGTTCAAGCAATTACAGTCTTCATGAAGATACGCTAACCCGCGCGCTGCCCCGGCAGCAACCTTAACACGACTAGTCCAATCCATTACCGGCTTGCCTTCAGCTGCACGGGCAATATCTCAGATGACGAACTACAATCAGTCGAAATAAAACGAGAACACAATTTTCGGATGCGGTCTTACCGTGAAGATGGTGGTGCAGAGTGTTGTTCGGCACATAATCATAGACGAGCAGCCGTTGGTTTTCAGCAATGCAGTAACCAACGAGCGACACCAAATGCCTATGGTGTATTCGGCTGATGATCTCGACTTCTGCCCTGAATTCTCGCTCGCCTTGTCCTCCGCCGGCTTTTAACTGCTTGACGGCAACTTCTCTACCGTCTACCAGCACTCCTTTATAAACACATCCGAATCCGCCTTCGCCGAGAAGCTTTTCCGCCGCAAACCTGTTTGTAGCCTCGGATAGTTCTTGATAGGAGAACCACGACCTCGACGCGCCTATGCCAGCATCCGGCGAGTGGATGTACTTGTTTGCTGATGCCGACTGTGACCTTAGAAACGACGAATCTGGGAATAACAGAGAATTAGCCAATGTCGTGGAACATTTGATTGCAGAGATTTGTAGTAAGTAGTGTACCTGAATTTTGGGATGATGCGAAAGGCGATGGCGCAGGGTAGTTGGAGCTAAGTTTGTCCTTCCGTTTCTTTCGCTTATGCAAGCGCCAAACAGCGAGAATGACGAGGGTGAGCGCCAGAAATCCGACGATACTGCTTATTGCTGCGACTCCTCCGGATTTCACACCACTAGAAGGAGTAGAAGTCGAATCTGCGGTTGCTTGAGTTGATCCGGCAGTGGGCTTTTCCGTCGGTAAGGATGGAAATGGTGAAGCTGGAGAGCTTCCAGACGACGTATTTGTTGACGGGGAAGGAGGAGATGCAGGCAGAGATACTGTAGGAGGAGAAGGAGATAGGGAAGGTGATGATGAAGGGATTGGAGGAGGGGAGACAGCCGGCAATGGAGGACTTGTAGTTGGTGTAATGGGCGGCGAGGTTCTCTGAACTGGCGGAGGTGGAGGAGAATGTGGAGGAGAATGCTTCGGCGGATGTGCAACGGGTGGAGGTGGAGATGGAGGAGAAGGTGTGGGTGGTGAAGGATCTATTTCCGGTGGTGGTGGTGGTGGTGGTGGAGAGGTTGGATCGGATTGGGGCGGAGGAGTGGCCGAAGGGGGAGGAGCAGGGGATCTTCTAGGTGGAGGAGCAGTTTCAGGCGGCGGGGGAGGTGGAATAATTGGTGGAGGAGGTGAATCGGAGGAGGTAGGGGGAGGGGTAGCAGGGGGAGATGGCGGCGGTAATGTAGGTTCTGGTGGTGGTGGTGGAGGTGAGGATGATGGTTCCGGCGGAGGGGATCGTGGTGGTGGCGGCAATGTAGGTGTTGGTGGTGGAGCAGGCGGAGGATTGGGTGGGAGTCTGGGTGAGGGAGAGGTTTCAGGCGGTGGGGCGGCGGCGATAGGCGCCGGAGGGGAGGCTGGGAGAGGCGGTGGAGTATCACTGGTCTGATCTGGATTAGAGGAAGATGGAGGGTTTGAATCTGACGGAGTAGCTGGGGAAGGAGCGTTAGGAGAAGAATTCGGCGATGGCGAAATGGACGCCATTGTTAATCTACGGAAAGCTTCGTTTCAACGAGCAATCGTGCCCAATCTCGAGGTGGTCAATGGCGGCATTCCGCCATTGAAGCACACCAGATTACTGATATCAATCGAAAACAACAATGAACTTCGTTCAGAAACGCGTATTCCAAAAATCCCCAAATTCAACTACGAAACCCTAGAAATTGCAGAAATTCTTCCGATGCGGATGAACATGGAAATGAAAAACGCTAGCGGAATCTAGATCAGGCAAGCAACATCCAAAAATCCACAAAACAAATCTCAAAAAACAAATGCAGTTCGACTAACCTCTCAACGCCAGTCCGGAATCTCGAAATTGAAGAATCGCGAGAAATTACTTCTCCTAACTGCAAAAATAGAGAGAGAGTTACCATAAATTCTCTGCCATTAATGCTCAGAGCATGAGCACCAAGAACACAGCTGTTATTGTCAATGTTTTCTCTCTTTTTCCAATTTCACCCTCCAAAAACTTTGGCATTTGCTAGAGAATTATGCAAACAACAATTAAGACGTGAAAAATCTATGTGAGTGTGAACGTGGTGGTGCGATTAATGTAAGGAAGAGCAAACGTTGTCAAGTTGCAAGTCAAAACGAACATCATGACTGCCATGTTCACTGGAGCTTCTACTCTTAGGAGCTCCAGGGCCTTCAAAACCAATTCAATCATCGCCATCCATGATGCAATATTGTCAACGGTGTAGATTATTTCTTGTAAAAACTTTTCAGGGCAAAATTACCAATGCAAAGCAACAATCCTAAATGGTCTTATCTAACTCACATTCTTGTTAAGGCAGAATGATCACTTCACCCATGTTTGGCAAACTAAATCAAGAAACTCCAAAAAGAAGCAAAATTTTTAAATTTTAGAACAAACATATATATAATCCATAATCAAATAAAAACGACATAACTCGTGGAATAGCAGATACGAATTCCAACATTATAATAATCATAAAAAAAAAACATAACAAGCTCAATGGCAATAATGTCGAAACCAGCAAAGCTTCCCGCCGTGGTGTTCTTCATCAGAACAATCCCTGCTATGTAACCACCACAGCAGATTCGTCAACGTGTTCCCGTCGTCGTGCCCGGTTAATCGCCGGATGTTATCGAGGGCGCCTTCTTTATCGTAAACTCCTTGAAGCGCATACACGAATCCTTTCCACCCTTCTCCGACTCCTTCCCTCCGCAGCGCCGGGAGCGTCCAATCCACCAGCTGTCGAACATAATCGACGTCGGAGAACAAAGCTTCGCTAATGGGAAGAATCGGGAGCAGCTGAATTCCGAGCCTCGTCTCCTTCCAATCAGCCGGCGCGAACCAGAGCCCGCTGTCGCGTTTATTCGCCCACAGCACTCCGACCACTCTGTTCTCTCGCGTAAAGTCTTTCGGATACAAAACATCGGTCTCTCTCACGTGCCACCACGTCTGCGCCGACTGAATCTCCAACGCCGCGATCGTCGACCCAATCGAGACTAGATGGCTGTCGCCGTACGCCAGCCCCATTAGCGCCGCCGAGTAGTAAGCATTCACAGCCTCGCTCGTGCTCTCCTGATTACGACCGTCGGCAAACTCCGTCAGCCCTCCCGCCCAAGAATGCAGCTTCCACAAGTCGAAGCATCTGAGGCGAGTGTAATTGGAGCTAGATCCCCTGCTCAATGTCATGAAATCAGCCATTAATGAATACGCCGGCGCTCTGTACTTCCTCCCCCAGGCAGGATCGATCTTCGCGAGCACAGCAATGCCGTAAACAAAGTATCCGAGGTGGTAATGATGATCGTTGTAGATTCCAAACCCGAAATCCGCACCTGAATCCGATGATCCTTGCTTCGTTACGAGGCCACCCCATTTCGAATCGTAGAGGAATCCATTCCCTCCGAAAGTCCCCTCGATCCACGGCTCGATCGCCTCTTTCAAGAACTTTCGAACAGCCGGTAGGACATCGGTGTAACACACTTCTTCGGCTATCAATGCCAGCCTCGCCCCGCGAGCGATCAGTTTTCCATAGAAGTACGAAGATGTCGTCGCGATCGAACCAGCATCGAGAGTGCCGACATCCTTAACAAGTGCATCGATTATGTCCGAATACGAATCCTCATCGACGCCTTGAATCGAATGCCAAGTTACAGAGACAGGATCACTTTTCAACACCCAAGAATCTCCAACTACACCTACTAGTTCTCCATCAATGCTGTTGTACCTAAAATCATCAATTACAGATATGGAAGGATCTGAATTAGAGAGAAGACGAAGATGGAGAGGATGTGCAAGCATCAGCAAATCCCCCCAACCTTTCTTCTCCCATTTATACTCCAAACAAAAAGGCCTGGTGAAATCTGCATCGCCACTCACAGGATAACATGAACTGAATCGATCTAATACAGCTTCGAATTTGGGGCTTTTTGTGTCTGGCAATGCAGCAATTCTAATTACACCGGAAAACACACCTGAAGTAATCCGATTGATATCGTGGCTGAGGTTAATCGCCGACGAGGCGTAAATTAGCCATGTCTGGTTGTTGTTCAGCTTAACGGTGTACTTGGTGCAAGAGATGTTCGGATTCAATTCGAGAATGGCGTGAATTGTTGAAATCGAAAGCGGAGTTGGAGACCTCACGTTGCAGGTTAGAAAAGGACTTCCTCTAACGAGGAAGAATCGGAGATTGTTGGAAGGATATTCTAAAGTGACGCTTAGGTCACTGAATGAAGAGATAACGTGCGCCGCATCAGGATTAGGGTTTCCGAGCGTAGAAATGGTAAGATCGGAAATGAAATTCTGGTAAATAAAAGCAGGACTATCGAACAGCGTGGGGTAACAGAGGGTTAGGGAAGACTGGTACGATTTGATCAAATAGGGATGGATGTACTCCGCCTGATCGCCGCTCTTGAGAACGAAGTTCTGGAAAAAGGAATTTGTGGGGAGAGGGGCAGAGAGGAGATGAGAGGCGAAGAAACGGGATGGATCAGGGAGGACGGCGGATTGAGCTTGAGGAAATACATATGGAAGGGAGCGGCGGCGTCCCTCGACGGCCGGCGGCGGAGGCGACATTGGCGGAGATGATGGGGACGCCGGAGAAGACGAAGCGGGGCTCTGCGTCGGGGTCGGCGGCGGCTTTCGAGACGGCTTCTTAAAAGGCTTGGTAATTATGGTTTTGACTCGGCGGCTTAGCTTCTTCAACATGGCTAAAATCAAGAGGGTATTTAAGGAACAAATTATCGATTTCGCTAGCTAAGCTTTGGGAAGCCGCCGCCGCGGCTTAATCACGTCACGTGAACGTGCACGTGACACCTGTCAAGAGCGGAATGAATGGCACACGCGATATCAAATTAATTCAATCAATCTCATACTTCTTCAAATCAAAAAATTATGTATATATTGAAATATCTAATCAAATTTGATAATAAATATAAAATAAATTTTGTGTGAAACTTACGGATAATCGTTGAATTGGAAATTTGTATCTTACATTGGGCAACAAGAAGAGAATAGGATAGAAATTTGATTGAACCGAGGCAACGGCGTTTGGATTTGAAGTGAAGGCACGATCACCATTCTTCTGGCCTGATTGATTGGTTGTATAACTTAGGTAAGAAGAAATGCTTCTTGGAAGGTCCAGGATTTCGAACACCAGCTAATCCACGACTACTACGCGTCTGGTTTGGAGTGGATGAATCTGGTGTTTAGGGTGCCGGGAGCTTCTAAGAATCAGTTTTGAACGTGGCAAATGGGTAAGGAATCTTCGAGACTTGCAGCTTGGGACATTTGCTTGGAACCTTAACAAAATTTTGGCTTTGTTACGGTATATCATATAATTGGACCCACATTTTTGTAAAATTATGTTATGTGTAATTTCAGAATTTTGAGATTTTTTTTATTTTTCAGTTACCGTTTTTTAATTTTTATTTTTAGATTTAAAGTTTATTGTTTGTGAACGATAGTTTTGAAATATTGGGATTGTGATGGTGGTTTCAATGTTAGAGGAGAAAAACTGATTTTCTTTTTTTTTTCTATATATACAGAAGGGAAGGGTAATACGACTGAATGGTGAGAATAAAAATATTGAAATTTATTATCATTAATGCATTTACAATGAATTGTTGTTTTTTTGATAATTTTTTTTATTGATAAATATTGAGTTGTTTTGTTATTCTTCTTTATTAATAATTTTTTTATATATATATTTTTATAATTTTTAAATTTTTTTTTGTTTTTTCTAAATTGTTTATTTTGTTGTGTTTTTTTTCTGCGCAGTCATAAAGTTGGAATCTCAAATACTTTTTTGAAATTTTTTTTTTATTGATAATATTGAGTTGTTTTGCTATTCTTCTTTATTGATAATATTTTTTTATATATATATTTTTATAATTTTTAGATTTTTTTGGTTTTTTCTAAATTGTTTATTTTGTTGTATTTTTTTTTGCGCAGCCATAAAGTTTGAATCTCAAATACTATTTTGAAAAAATTTTTTATTGATAATATTGAGTTGTTTTGCTATTCTTCTTTATTGTTGTATTTTTTCTGACGCAGCCATAAAATTGGAATCTCAAATACTTTTTTGATAATTTTTTTTATTGATAATATTTTATCTATATATATATATATTTATAATTTTTAGATTTTTTGGTTTTTTTCTAAATTTGTTTATATCGAAAGTTGTTAGCGATAAGTTTGGTGATTTTTTAATTTGTTATATATAAAAATTATTTTATTATACATTTAAGTGTAATTTAAATTCTTATTAGCAATTAATCATAATTTATATTAAGTTATATGTTTTTTTTTTTTTTTAATAAATACTGTAATTAAGTTATCTGAGGAATTGATTTTATTTTTTAAGTTGAAAAAAACAAAAATTGTAATATGTATATGAATAATAATTTTATTTTCATAATCAATCAAGTTATAAACACATCCAGATATATGTATAGTTTTTATAAATTTTTTAATTGATTTAGTTCATCATATATATATATATATATAAAACTGCTCAAAAGGTGGACTTGTATTTTGTTCATCATATATATTTTAATTTTGGATTTTTTTTTAATCACAGATTTAGAGTTTATTGTTTTTTTTTTATTATCAAAGTGCGTAAATGACAGTTTTGAAATAGTGGGATGGTGGTTTTATATATATATATAAACATGTGAGGGAAGGGTAATACGACTAAATGGTGAAAATTTATTATCATTGATACACTTACAATAAATTGTTGTTTTTTTATAAAATGTATTATCACCATTTAGTCGTATTACCCTTCCCCCACATGTCTATATATATATATATATATAAAAAATCAGTTTTTCTCCACTAACATTGAAACCACCGTCCCAATCCCACTATTTCAAAACTGTCATTCACATCCTCTATCACTTATCTTGATAATTAATTTTACAAAAATATGGGTCCAGTTTTGAGCTCTTTTATATATATATATATATAAATGATTATATAAACACATATATATGTTTAAAAAAAAGCATAGACTTATGTTTTAAATTTATTCTAAATAATTTTTATTTGTAATTAATAAAGAAGATATAAAAATATATATATTAAAATTTTAAAATGTAATTTATTTTGCATTCAAAATTATTTTAAATAATACAATTGTATCTTATATTTAATTAAGAAATAAAAGTAAAATGCTACAAAATTTAATATTTACGGAGATAGTATAATTCATTGATTTTATTTTATTTTTTTATATTAATTAAATATATATATATATAAGATATAAAGAAACTACTATTAAAAAAATATATAATTATAATTTTTTCGTTGATTTCATCGTGCGTAGCACGGGTATTCCGTTAGTAATAAATTAAATCGTTATTTTAACATTAAATTATTTTAGTTATATTGCATATTTTATTCCAAATTTAATATTAAATTATTTTAGTTATATTGTATATTTTATTCCAAATATATAATGTAAATAATAATTTATATTACATATTTCTTTCCGAAAAAGTTTCTGCAGTCGACTCTATTTGGTGCATGTGTTTGGCCGAGAATTAGTGGATGATGGTAGATGATAATGATGTTTTTAGTTCGAGCTTACAGAAAATCCGGCGGCAGCTGTTATAGTAGAATGAGAAATTTATTTCGGATTATATATTTTTATTTCTTAATTTATTGTATAATATTTAATGGAAAGATGAAGTTGTGTAGATTTTGGATATATTTTTTATTAATTAATTTTTAATATATTTGTATTTAAAAATGATAAAATAAATTTAAAATAAATGAATAGTACTATCCAAAGTTAAATGTATATATTTTACTAATTTTTAAAATAATTATATAAACACATATATATGTTTAACAAAAAAAACATAGACTTATGTTTTAAATTTATTCTAAAATTACAATGTATATTGAGATAAGTAATTTTTTATTTGTAATTACGGTTATAAAGAAGATGTAAAAAAAATATATTAAATTTTTAAAATGTAATTTATTTTACATTCAAAATTATTTTAAATAATACTATTATATCTTATATTCAATTAAGAAATAAAAGTGATGAAGTTGTGCAGATTCTGGATATATTTTTTATTAATTAATTTTTAATATATTTGTATTTAAAAATGATAAAAATAAATTTAAAATAAATGAATAGTACTATCCAAAATTAAATGTATATATTTTACTAATTTTTAAAATAATTATATAAACACATATATATGTTTAACAAAAAAAAAAAAATAGACTTATGTTTTAAATTTATTATAGAACTACAACGTATATATTGATAAATAATTTTTATTTGTAATTACGGTTATAAAGAAGATGTAAAAACAATATATTAAAATTTTAAAATGTAATTTATTTTACATTCAAACTTATTTTAAATAATACTATTATATCTTATATTCAATTAAGAAATAAAAGTAAAATGCTACAAAATTTAATATTTACGCAGATAGTATAATTCATTGATATTATTTTATTTTTTATATTAATTAAAAATATATATAATATATAAAGAAATTATATTAAACAAAAAAATATAATTATTATTATTTTATTTTTTTATATTGATTAAAAATATATATAATATATAAAAAAATTATATTAAACAAAAAAAATATAATTATAATTTTTTCGTTGATTTAACCGTGTAGCTAGGTATTCTGCTAGTATATATAAAAATTTAAATATAATTTATTTTTTTTTTTGTTTAGTGTTGATACAAATTTTTATATTTTACATAAAAATATTTTAAAATAAAACAATAGACAAACAAATTTTTTATAATCAAGGGAATTTATGGCCAATGTCTTTTTCGTGTCTAGAATTTTTATTTTTTTTACAATTTTTATTTTTTATAATAAGAAATAATATATGGAAAAGTATTATTTTTATTTTTTTATTTAAATAATATTTTAGTTTTAGTTGTTTGCGCTACTTTAAAATAATAGTCTTATTTTATCATTGTTGTCCATTTCAAAATAGTAGTTACGTTTTCATTTTTAGTAACTAATTATCTTTATTTTTTTTACAATAATTATATAAAGTGGAGATATTTAAATTTTTTAAAAACAATTTTACACTCTATCTATATAATATTAATATTTCTTAATTTTGATGCTGATTCAAATGTTTCTACTGTTTTAAAAGTGAAATAATATATGATTAGTGTTATTCTACATATATATATATATATAAATTAAATATTTGAATAACAATAAATTAGATTTCATATGTTTTTTTAAGTAAAATAATTTAAAGATATTTTTTTTATGCGAAATATAAAAAACAGTGTAAGTAATATAAAATTAATAAATATATATATAATATATTATTCTTTTAAAAAAATATATTTGTGAGGAATTGTGTTTTTTATAAAAAGAATATTATCTCTATTTCTATATATATATACAATTCCTAACTAGAATAAATAAGAGAAATACATAATTCTTTTGTCTCAATTCAAAGTTTTTTATTTATTATTTTTATTTATCTTATAAAAAATATCATTTTTTAAAATATTTATATTAATTAATAAAATATTATTATTTTTAATAACTACAAAATTCCATAAATATTTTCATTTATACTGTTACTTGTACCTGACAGGGTTCTTTGTCTTGGGGAGGTTTCATTTTGATACTAGGCTATTAGGCCCTAATTGAGTAGTTGAAGGGCGTAAATTGAATAAGCCCAAAATTATGGGGCCAACAACACAGTTGCATTATCTTATTAATTTTGTATTTTTAACAAAATGAGATTAAATTATTGTTTTATTAATCAATTTATTAATTAAATTTATCCAACTGCTTAATTTACATGAAAAATAAAATTGGGGAATATCTCTGGTGGTTCGGTCGGCAGAACTCCGATGTGGTGAGTGGAAGCAACCGCTCCAGTGATCAGTGATGGCAGGGCTACTAGCTTGGGCGGCGGATGTGGTGGGCGGCGGCGGCGAGAGAGGTGGTGCGGAAGATGATCCGGATTCAATTCCTCTAATCTTCACTCCGGAGCAACAGGCGTATGTTCATGACCTTGACCGTAAAGCTACTACACTTAACCGTTCGATCCAGGATCTGAGGCTGAGATTGCCTCCGCCGGACATCTCGCAGCGCCTTCCTCACCTCCACGCTGATTCTCTCGCTTCCAACAATGCTCTTGCTCTCCAACTCAACGCTCACTCGGCTACCAAGCAACAGGTGTTTCCATTGTTGTTATGTCTTGTGACATTGGTGTTTTTATTAATGAGTGATGTTTTGATTTTGTGCATTGTTTGCTTTTGTCAGTGAAACTTCTTGTCTATTGTTTGATCTCGAGGATGAAAAAGAATGTTACTCTAGAAATTTCAGGAAAAAATGTGATTGGCCATATCAAGATTCATTAATCAAGAATAGAGTTCAACTGAAGTAAATTAACTGAATGCGTGAATCCAAACAAGATTAGTTATTCTCGTTTTTCGTCATGTTTTCCATCATCTGATGACATCTGAATCACGGTAGTTTTTTATTTTTTTTTCATCATTTTCCTTTTTCTGTTGCCCTTGCGATTGGCTTGTTGGGTTACTAGTATTTCTGCTTGGATTTCGAAACATGGAATTGAAGTACGTGATTGTAAAATCTGACAGTTGCTCATAATCATTCCAGGCACAGCTAAGAGAAGTTAGCCTGCAAGAAGAAAATTCAGAGTATCAGAAAGCTATATCTGATTGTGAAATGAAAATACAGGAAAAGTTGCAGGAAGCAGATGCACTACGAAGTAAGTTGCAGGTCAGACTTTTGTTTCCTAAACTCAGAGCTCTTCTCTCGATAAACTAGGTGATTTTGTTTGTGTTTTCAGTTTTGCAGCCATATGTATTGTTTGCAATATTAGATTTTTGGGCCGATTAGCATGAAGAGTGTACCTTGAATATCACAATGATTTTTTTCAGGAATTAGACTTGATGGAGCAGAACCTGGAAGCTGAGCTTCAAAGAGCAAATGATTCTGCAAATCACTCTAAAGAAACCGATGAAGTGCTTAATGATTCTAAATCAATGTTTGAAGCACAAGTAGAGACCGAAGCTGCAAAAGCTGCCTTAATAGCGAAGATAGAGGACAAGAAAAAGGAATTGGTTTGTGCATGCTTGCTTATAAATATGTTGTTTTCATATATTCTATTGCTTATTTGAATTGATTAAACTATTTCTGAATAATAATATTATAGAATTTCCATTCTTCACAGGCTTCGATGGAACGAATTTTTCAAGCATTGGAGATAAAATGGCAGCAGGTTCAAGATAACGCATTGAAGCAACCAACCCCAGGTATATTTTTAAATTGTAGTCAATGACCAAATTCTAGTCCTTAGCATTCGTTGATGGAGTATCTTGTAATGATATAAATATTGGGTATGTTTACGTATAAATTTGCTTATGTGTGCACTGGTCAAAGAAGACCAAAGAAAGTAAAACAAACCTCTAGGAGGAAGATGAAAATTTTGAATCACACCATTTATTTGTTAGTTATTTAGTTGTAAATCCACTGTTGAGATAGTTAAGTTGGTTTCAGTTGTTAGGAGGAAGGTGAAAATTTTGAATCACACCATTTATTTGTTAGTTAATTAGTTGTATATCCACTGTTGAGATAGTTAAGTTTATTTCAGTTTTTAGGACTTAAAAGAATGACCTACGCTCAACAAAACATAATCTTTCAGAAATATCATGGTGAGAGTAGAAAATCTGCCGGGTTTGTTGTCAAATGGAGAAGTTTTTGTTTGAAAAACTGAAGCGATTCATTGTGACAATAATTGTCAGTAGTTTACATCGTTGTATTTGTATTAACTACTTCAATTACAGCTCAGCGAGAGAAAACATTGGATAAACAGCTCCACAGCTTAATTGAGCAACTTGCTGCAAAACAGGTAGATTTCTTATACTTCCTATTATCCAATGCTGCTGTAATGAATCTGCTCTGTGCAGCCTTTTTTTTTGTAGTAGTAAATGATCTTACTTGTTCTTTCAGGCCCAGGCAGAAGGTCTCGTTGGTGAAATCCGCGTGAAGGAGATGGAGCTTGAAAAGTTAAATGGACTGTGGAGAAGAATGGAAAGCAGCGCTTTGGATGGAAATGCAGCAAGAAATAGGTTTGGAAGAAGCAGCTCCTACGAGGACACTGCCTCTTCTTTTCATTTTGGAACTCCTCAACAAAAGCTTCCTCTTCATATGGCCAATCGGAGTGAGAGTTTGCAGAGGCTGATGCTACTGAGATCGACCTTTGTGCTCTACATATTAGTTTTGCACATTCTGGTATTCATAAAGATTTCATTCTAGACTCTTCTTAGCATGGTTGTTTCTAGGAAGTAATCATATTCTTAGTCATACGTCTCCTTGATTGTAAATTTGATGACTGTTAAATGTTTACTATTGCCGGAATACCTTTGGTCATTATATCTGTTAGTGATTCTTGTGAAACACAGCAGTGGGAAACCTAGAGCTTTAGACTTTTACATTTATTTGTCGTATATGCTGGCAATATTATGGTATATAACTACAATATATGTATGAGTATAGCCCAGGTAAATCGTCAAATCCACGGTAATGTTTCTCTCTTGTTTTATTCATTTCCTTTTATATATTATATCATCTGTGTTGAATTTTCTCTTTGTTCTATATTATGGATGCTCAAATATTGCAGATTCCTTTTGTCCCAGTGGTATCCCACCAGTGCACGTTTCCGGGGCAGAAAGAAAACATGTAAATCTTGTCTCGAGAAAGCGGGGCATCTTTATGGGACTGGGAAAAAGCCTCAGATTGTGGAGAATTCAACTTTAAAACTTTTTGACATACAGAGAGGAAAGAACAGCAATCGAGAATTTGACATCCTCAAAAGCATCCAATGCCCTCTTCCCCTTGGTAATAATTCTTGAAGTTTTCACTGTGTGCCTTTACTGTTGTGCATATCTGCATTGTCCATAGCCTGAAACCATATTGAGAAACATTAGATTAGGTTTCATATGATGAATTATAAGCTATAACTTTGATAATGGTGATGAACGAACTTACTTGGATCGGTGAAGGTAACTAAGGCCGTCCCTTTGAAGTCACAATTCCAGTAGTTCCTTCCGTGCATCTGATAGTAGGCATTCATGGCATACGAAGCATGTGCATGTATCTTATCTGGTGCATAACAGTTTCCTTTCTTGTTGATTTCCCTGCAGTCGACTCCTCCAGGTCCGCAGCAGAAGTCCACCACCGCCTGGATCACCTTCTCATCGGCGTGTGGTTTCGCTACGCACCACACGGATGGACCCCTGTTGATTCCTGCCCCGGGTGGCTTTTCACCGAATCCGAGTTTCTCCCCATTTTCCGAACAGAACTGGCAGGTCAAATCCACTTCATACACTTTAGAACCGTCGGCAGAAAATATGCCGAAGTTCCTCTCGCTGCTTCCGCCCTGCTTTTTGTTCTCGTTGAACAAGGAGAACACGAATATCTCTATGCTCTCGTTGGGCTTCATCGGAGTCCCTTTATTTGTTTGCGCGCGTTGCACTAATCTTGTGTTGTAAGTCCTTGCATTGTCAGGTGTTGCTGCGGTTTCTCCGGGGTCGCCCTTCGATGGCCACCCAGATTCTGACACGACTATCTTGATCGAACGGTTTCCGAATCCGAGGGAGGCGATGGCGGATCGAACAGCGTCAATCTGCGCATCCAACATGTTGTGGTACGTGTACCCCTTCGGATCACCAACCCCTGTCCCATTCCCCAGCAATGCGTACTCTAAATCGATCGTCTTCGGATTGTCGCGGTAGGCGAAGTAGGGGTACGCATTCACCATGAACGGCGCACTGGTGTCGGCCAAGAACCCGACGATGGCCGTCATTGCGGGGAGGAGCATAGCAGCAAAAGTGGAAGCTGACGGCGGGAATGACGACGCAAGGACCGCCATGCTGTGCGGCGTGGTGACCTTGATCTTCCGGTCGAGGCCACGTGCCACCAATGCTCCATGCACGTGCTGCATGGCCTGGAATAATGCGTCGTTGGGATCGCCGGCATCTCCGGCTGCTGCAGTTGTGAAGTACTCGTTGCCGACTGCAATGGCGACTATGGATGTCGCCGGAATGAAAGGAGCGACATGAGAAGTGAACCACCGGTCGGCGGCGGCGGGGCTGGAGCTTAGATTGGCGACTTCGGAGTTCTGTACGGATACTATTATGTCGATTCCGGTGTTGGAGAAGGCTTCGAGGATTTCGGGGTTGGTGTCGTAGATCTTGACCTTGCTGATGATGGTGGATTGGAGGAGCTGCGCCACCTGTTTGGGCGGCGGGAGGTTGTTTGCTACGGTGCCGTAGTTTATTCCGATGGAGGAAACATTGTGGACGAAAAAGAAGACGACGACGGCGACGGGAAGGTAAGCCTTGAGAAATTTGGTAATGGCCATTGTAGGCTGTGGGGGGTTTATTTTTGTTGTGTGTATAGAAATAGAGGGATATATGTATGTAGCTGAAATTGAGCCATATTTTGATGGATACTTTTGAGCTGGATTGCAATTGCAGGTTTGATTTATGGGGTCTGGTCTGATCACTTTTTGACTAACATTTTGTTTGCCCTGTGCAGGTTTGAAATTTTTGTGTGAAAATTAAATGGTGCGAATATCGAGGGGTTTGGTGGGCCGGGCTTTTATAATGGGTCCGAAATGGGCCCGTCTATAAGGGTTTGTGATGGGCCAGCCCAAACCCTTATTAAATATGCCCGAGTGATGGGCCGACACAGATAGAATTAGGATTTTTTCAATAATGTCCTAAATCAAACAAAATTATAAATCAACATTGTTGGGGGCCTATATAATGGTTCCCAATGGGTAGATTATACCATTAAATTATGACAAAATTGTTTATAACTCATTATTCTCCGACAAGTTTGTATTATATGATTTAAAATTATGCGAGATTTTCTTATATTTTAAAAATATTATAATATTTTAAAAAAAATTAAATGAACTTTCCTTTTTTTTTTGTATTTATAAAAAATATTATATAAAATCTCATAGAAAAGAATTTTTATTTCAATATTATGAAAATAGTATAAGAAAATTTAATGTAATTTTAAAATTATAAGAAAAAATGAGAAAATTTTCTCAAATTATAATATTTTTGTCAATTTTAACAGTAACAATAATTATAGAGTAGATGAAAAATTTTACTTTTACTATTCTGAGTATATTTTATAGGTAGGATTAACGATAGTACTTGTGTAAGGCTATCTCCAATCCTACACTCTATTTTTTCCAGTTGCTACAGTAAAACTGCAATTATTTGCAGTAATTTTATTCTAATTATAAATTTCAATTTTTATTCTAAAAAGTATATTCACTATATATTCCTCTTTTATATTATTTTATATAACTTTTCATATTTATAAATTACACATCAACTTTAATTTATTTTTACATTAGATCCATATACATATAATTTATATTTTATTTAAAAATTACATATATAAAAATTAATATTTATAATTAATAACTATTACAAATAAAATAATTTTAAATAAATAATTGTTGGGATATAAAGCCTGATTATATCCTAAAATCTAGGGATATGATTTGGATATTATATTTTAGATTTTAGAGATATGATTTGGATATTATTGTCAAAGCTTAGGCTATAAATATCCATGTATTCTCACTTTAACATGTGCCTGCGTACTTTATAGTAAAATTCCTGGCTTGGCAGCGCCCCCAGACGTAGATCATCGTGATCGAACTGGGTTACCAAATTCTTGTGTTCTTTTGTCTTTATTATCTCATCTTGATTTCTTGGAATTTCCGTAACAAGTGGTATCAGAGTCTGGTTCGTTGGTAAGGTGGACTGGGAGGCATCGGATATTGATTGTGGCTGTGGAAATCCTTGTGACCTGCGGAGGTGCCTTGTGTCGAAAGTCTCCTGGCGGTGTTGGGTCGGTCCCGACTGATAGGTCAGGCAGCGAGTCCCTTTGTGATAGGCGGTGCAAGGTTGGCAGGGAAGGATAAGGGTTTCGGCAAACGCAACGGAGGAGATATCCGATGTGCTCTCATATCAAGTGAACCTTGGTTTGTTTGTGGGAGTCAAAATGGGTGATCGTCGTGTTGTCAAGGTATTCGATGGTATGAACTTCGATTTTTGAAATATGCAGATAGAAGATTACATGTATGGTAAAGATCTAGATGCGGTATTGAAGGAGAAATTCGAAGACATGGATGAAGCCGAATACAAGAAGATCGACAGGAAGACGATGGGTGCGATTCGACTAACCCTTTGGAAGAATGTCTCGACTGAATTTAGATTTGAGGCAAAAGGAAAGCGTGAAGATCAAGAATGGTCAAAGTTGAAGCCGAAGAATAAGGACAAGGAAGATGCAAGTCAGGTGGTATATTGGAACTGCAAGGGGCACTTGAAACGACAGTGCAAGGCGCCGGAGAAGGATCAGGGTTCAGCAAACGCAACGGAGGAGATATCCGATGCGCTGATTCTGAGCGTCAGCAGTCCAATGGAGTCGTGGATTTTGGTCGAGCATCATTCCACTCATGCAGTGATTCGAGAATCATGGAATCCTATACCACAAGTAATTTTGGTGTTGTCTATCTTGGAGATGATGAGACACTGAAAATTGTAGGTAAATGAATGATTCGAATCAGAACACCGAATGGTGAAGAGTGGAGATTGGATGAGGTATGTTGAAGTGGAAGATGAAATCAGTCTTCAAGTGGGAGATTGTTGGGATATGAAGCCTGATTATATCCTAAAATCTAGGGATATGATTTGGATATTATATTTTAGATTTTAGAGATATGATTTGGATATTATTGTCAAAGGCTTAGGCTATAAATATCCATGTATTCTCACTTTAACATGTGCCTGTGTACTTTATAGTAAAATTTCTGGCTTGGCAGCGCCCCCAGACGTAGATCATCGTGATCGAACTGGGTTACCAAATTCTTGTGTTCTTTTGTCTTTATTATCTCATCTTGATTTCTTGGAATTTCCGTAACAATAATTAAATGCTATCAAGACAAATATGATATAATAATTAAACATAGATAACGTAATATTATTATTTCATAACAATTTATCACAAAAACATACATTACAATTATTTTTAAAAAAATAAAAATTATATCACTTTTTTCAAAAAGTAAAATTATATATCAATTTAAAAAATAAAATTATACATTATTTTTTTAAAAAATAAAATTATATATTACTTCCAAAAACTAAAATTATATCACTTAAAAAAAATAAAATTATACATTTTTTTCAAAAAAAATGAAATTATATACAACTTTTTAAAATATAAAATTATATATCATCTACTAAAAAATAAAAATTATACAATACATCCCAAAAATACCAAAATTATAAAAAAAATACCACAAAAACTCCATTCCAAATATATATAATATAGAATATAGATCATAAAAATTATATCATCTCACTACTCATTTTCTTTTAACCGCATCACCCCTCTACCACTTTTATCGTAACTGTATTTTTTGTTCTATTAAATTAACTTATAAATATATTTTACTTTTCATTAATATAACCATACAAATATGAATACAAATACAATTATTAATAAAAAAATGAATTAAATTAAAAAGTAAATTAAATAAACAAAATTGAAAACACCGATATATATATATATAAAATTAATCTAAAATTCATTAGATTTTTTAAAATTTTAAACTGTTATAAAATTATTTAAAAAATAGATATAGAATATCGTATGTTTGTTCTAAAATTTTATTTATTTATTTATGAATTGTAATATAATAAACAAATAAAGTAATTAAAATGAAAATTATATATAATAAAAATAGTTAATTAAAATATTAATAAGAGAAAATAATGAAATAGTAAACTATAATTTTAAAAAATTATATAAAAATCAAAATAATAATAACAATAAAAAATTTCAAAATTCTAAAATTGCAGGATTTCAAAACTATAAAAGAAAATGAGTTCACACCCTTGCTATAATTAGATATATAGGATATGTATTTACCGTTAGAGTTAGGGGTATCCAACTGCCTATATTTATCTTTTGATCCAACGGCCTATATTTAATTAATCTCTTGATCGGCGGTCCAGATTAGAGAACTAACTAATTAATCAAACGGCACATATCGTGTATATATATATATATATATCCATCGTTAGATCGACATAGATTTTTCTACGTTTTTCTATTTTTTTTCTTTTAAAAAAATTAAAAACTTGTGTGGGACCCACCCCATGCGTTGATGTGTGCCTCGCCACATCTGGTGCTCCTTCAATTTTTCTTCGTCCTCTTTTCCGTTCATGATTTTCTTTGTACTCAAAATTTCTCATCGGACTCCTAAGCACAACCAATAATATTTTTCTCAACCTTCAGTAGGATCATGAAGGAGAAAAAGAAAAAAAAAAAAAAAAAAAAAAGAAAGACGAGAATTGAGGGAGGTAAGAAGACAGAGAAGAAAGTGGATGTTGTTGTTGTTTTCTTTTTTTATCTAAAAATAATATTTCTATAGGATTGTATAATCTTAAAAATAATAATAGTCCCATTGTCCCGTAATCAAGTATCTATCAAATATTAATTATTGTATCAAAACGTATTACAAATTAAAGAAATTTATTAGTGTCTTATACAAATATAATGATATTTTCAGAGTTAAGTAAACGAAGCGGATAAGTTGTTATGGGATGGAAGAAGTATTTGTACAATATATTGTAAATTGTAAAAATATTTATAATATTATATATATAATACAATTAAAAAAAATAGTTTATCTTGATACGGATTAAGTGTTGCCATCTATTCGGAGCTGTTGTTGCTGCCGGAGGAATCGCCGACCACCGGAGTCGCCGCTGCCCAGCTGTGCTATTACCGAGGACAGGCACCGCGGCTAGAAGTCGCAAGGCTGGAAACTAAAGACCACATCGATCGGTTTAAGGAAGGCGTCCTCCAATTTCAGAGAAGAACACGAATAGGGAAGATTTTTGTTTTGTTTCTAAGGCAAAATAAATTAATTAGAAATTTCTTATTTTAATTTCACAATATGATAAAATTGATCTAAACTAATATTTACGAAATTGAATACAAAATTATATAAATTCAATTTGAATTTTTTATGCATTAACAACTCATTGTTCATCACTGACACATATAGTGAATACAAATTTACATATTAAAGATATCAAAACCCTCCAAAATCTCCAATAAAAGACAATAATGATTTTACTTCACCTTAACCAAAAATATTTGATCCTTTATAGCTCATCGAATATTACTAATATATTTATACTTAGAATGTCATTATTAAAAAAAACAAAAACAAAAAAGAAAAAAAATTAAAAAAAAAAAAAAGAAAAAAGAAAAACTCGTAATACCAATAATACACCGAAAAAAAAAGAAAAAAGATTGTATTCAATTATTAGTAAAAAAATGGGAGAATTTTTACCTCAACTGTGTAGGTACATACGATGTCGTATTTAACTCTTCTCTCTTGAGCAATTCCATCAAAAATTCGTTCCACGTGTCAATGGCGCCCGGCAAGCACCAATGCACGCAGTCATAGCCAAATGTCGGATTTGCCCCTGGCCGTTGCCAATATTTACTGGGATGTCCGTCCGGCCTCATTTGCATAGCCTTCGTCACGTCCATCGCTCTCAGCTTCACCTCACCGCCATGGCGATTCCCCGCGGTTCTCTCTGCAATTCTGAGCTCCTCCAGCTGTATACCGTACAAATCCGCCGTATAATCCGCCATGGCGCTCTCGTTCCTGCCGAACGGCAGCGTCCGAGGGCAACTGCCGCCTTTATTCCACCGTCCGCCCTCGAAATGCGACGGAGAGAATGTTCGCAGGAAAACCACGCCGTTAAATCCTTCCGCCTCGATAATCGCGCGGAAGGCCGTCCGGAAGGCTCTCCGGTAGCTGAATCCGGCGGATCTCTGGCGGATTGTGGACTCCGTGCAGTAGAGGCAGCCGACGAGGAGGCGGTCAACGTAGAAGTACGTCGGTCGGAAAAACCAGTGGCCGGCGGAGATGATTACGTAATCGAAACGCGCGATTTCGTTCGGCCAGAGAGGATCGAACTCGTCGAGATACAGATTGAACGGTCGCCTCTGGTCGTCCGTTAATCCGCCGGTTTTCACCAAATACGGCGACCAGAACAGAGAGACGTTGAAGTTGTATTCTCTGTATTCGTAGCGTCGGTTTTGGTCCAGTGGATCGGACAAATCTCGAGGATACGTAACCTGATCGGAAAAGTAACCGCCATCAAATCCAAAGGCAAATCCAGAACAGAACAGATCAAACACCACAAATTAATCAATCAATTGATTCTAACCTTGGAGAGGATGCAAACGAGAGATTGCAACTGATTCCTAGCAACGGAGTCTCCGACGAACGCCATGGCCTTACCGCGAACAAGTTGGAGAAACTCGCTCGGATCAACGGCGGGGAGTTCGCATCCGTCAGGCTTCCATTTCCACTTCAAGTAATCGGTATCAGGTCGCTCAAATTTGAGGCAGTTTTGGTGCTCCTGGATTGCGTGACAAGTCGCGTTCGTGTAGTACGGTTCTCCTTCGTGATTCCTCACCCACTGGCCGGTGAACAGGTTGCAGTTCTTATCAGTTATACTCATAACCGTTTCTTCACTCTTTCTCCTATCATCTCCGGCGGCGATCGGAGCAGGATTCCTATTATTAATATCTCGATTAGGAGGATTCTTCAGATTAACAATTGAGTGGTTCCCGGCGACCGGCGCAGAATTATTGGAGCGATTTAGGGATCGATATTGGAATGCATTATCGACGGTGGGGAATTTCTTGGGATAAAAGTGAGCAAGGGCGATACAGTAGACAAAAACGGTGATGAAGAGAAGGGGAAAGGCGATGAATGGAGCGATTCTGGCGAGATTTCTTGCGGGGGTAAGAGGTGTTTTCCCTGAGGAAGGGAGTTCGGAGGCCTGAATCTTCTTCATTGTAGGGTTCATTTCTGCTTCTTCTTCTTGGTGGAGAGGATGGATGGAATTGCAGGGAGGGAGGAAGAAGATGATTTTCAGAAGAATGGAAATAAAATCCACGACGAAGGTCAGAAATTCTTTAGATATTAATATCAGTCTTGTGCTCTTATATATATATATATATATAGTTAGTTTTTACTTATTTTGAATGACATTAATATTTTTAAAATTTTGCTTTTATTTTTATTTTGATTTTTTTTAATTTGAATAGTATTTTAGATATAAGATTTTAAAAATACATATACTCCTATTTTATAAAAATAATAATAATAATAATTACATTGCATTGAAAAAACTGCTTTTTCTTATAAAAATATGCATTTTTAATTATATTAACTATGGTAGGTTAAATATATATATATATATATAAACTTATATATTTACTAACAATCTGCTAATTTTTTTCGGTTAATATGTTGAATTTATCTTAAAATATTATTTAAAAATATAAGTTTATTTAATTTTAATTTTTTATTTCAATTTTAAATTAATTAATATTTTAATTGATATTTTGTAGAATTAAGTATATATATATTATATTAGAAACCGATTCTTGTAAAATTAATTTTAAATCATAATCCAAGACACCCTATCCGTTAGTGTGTTTTCATATATATATATATATATATATTGTCCACAAAAAAGTACTTTGTAGTATTTTCTATTTATTTTTTAAAAAAAAATAACTTTTTATTTTTTAATTTTTAATTTTTTAATTTTTATTTTACATTTATTTCCCTAAAAAAATCATATTTTATTTTACAATTAATCAATACAATAATATATTTATTAAAACATTTTGTCTAAATAAATATATTTTTCATGAACAAAGAGAGTAAATATTTTATTTACAAAATAATAAAAATACATACAATATAATTTTCTTTAATATTTTTATATTTCACAATAAAAAATTAAAATTATAAATACTAAATATATACACTCTTTATTTCGATAAGAATCTGTATAAATCTAAAATGTCATATAATTAAATTGATGCTTATTTATAAATTGTAGTTATATACAATAATGATCATGACGTAAATTTGTCAAGCTTTATTTAATTATATTTATTGTTTGTATAATTAAATATACTTTATAGATATTCGAGTACAGGGGAGGATTGGGTGCTGATTAGTATAAAAATTAAGTATGTTAACTTATTTTATAAATTATATAATTGTGTGTAATTATATTACACTAATCAGCATGGTGTTTATTGTAAAATATCAGCACCTAATCCTTTCCCTTGAGTATATTGTTTTTATACTATTTAGATATCCATTTATTTATATATTGACATGCTTAAGGATATGTGTGTATATAATTCTAATTTAAGTTAATTTTTAAAAAGCGGGAGATTTTGCTTTTTCAAAATTTACCATTTTTTTTTTTTTTTTCTCATTTCATTTAGTAAAAAATTAATATTTTTGTTCTTATTTACTTCCTAGTGTATCACCATAGATCATTTTCTTTTCTAATGGTAACCGTATTTAATACTGCACGTTCACATTGAATGAGTACTCAAATTAGTTAAATCATTATAGTTACCTGCAATAAAATAAAATGCCATAGAAAGTAATTAAAGCGGTTTGACCTAGTTAAGTGAGTTTGTATTACTTTTAAACTTTTAAGATCTTTTTTCTTAATTTAAAAGTTGGCCGTCAAGTATACTTACAGTAATTCGTTATAGGTGGCAATGAGGAATAAGTTGGTGTGCCCATTTTGATTTGGCAAAACTATCGGGCCTAGACGGCCCAAAGAATGCATTGGCAACACCTAAATTGTAGGGCTAGGAGTCGAGGTTTGTGTAAAATGGATTTGAAGGTGCTTGTATTTTATATGTTTCCCTTACTAACAAAAAGTGATAGCTCCGGTCCCATAATGTATGAATGGTCGTGTGGTGTGACAATGAATTCGATGGGTTCAAATCTCGATATTTCTAAATCTTGTCTTCCACGTATTCTCATTTGCCCGGGGCTAATAATGATTGTGAATTCTCGTATTATCAAAAAGAAAAAATCGAAAGGTTAGTTGAGATAATAGATTGGGCACATCATAAGAAAAAGTGGAGGCATCTGCCAACCACAAACCCTAAACCCTAACATTTTGGTAAGATCTACGTAATCTAGCAGATGATCGTACAAAGGGATTTGAAAAATACAATATGAACCAAAAAAAAAAAAGATTTATCTGTCACACATAGTCATCTAATGTGACTAGTTTTGTCGAATAAATTTGCATGCTATTAAATTCGATTTGAAATTTATTTAGATTGCACTAAAAATATAGCATATTCTCGCGTTATTAAAAAAATAGTGGGAGGGGGGGACTTGAAGGCACTATATTCGATTTGGATTTTCCAATGAATTTTGCACTAGTTTGCAAGAGACCCAAATTGGCCAAAAAAATATGTCCCCAACTAGTAATATTTACTTGAAGCTAGGTGTATGTCCATATCTAAATGAGTGAACGAAATGCGCTTGGATGAAAGACATAATATATATATATATATATATCGGTTCATCCAAAAATTTAGTCATCTTCAATCATATGTAACCACCATTTCGTTTTCTGCATTTTACTTTTCATTGTCAGTAGTGTAACAACTTTGGGAGTTTACCAAATCAAGTTTGCACTTCAACCGAATTTTACTATTAACAGAAGTAATACTTTCACAATCCTTTGTACTTCACAACGAAAACAGCCAAAATTATAAACACTAAACAAACACTCTTTAAGGTTTGTTTGTGGGATTAGATTTTAAATCCAATATTCATCCTATTTTTTCCCCCAAAAACATCAAATCAAACGCTTATTTTTTTATTTTTTATATTATACTAAAAATCAATTTTACATTCAAAACATCACATCAAACCCTATTTATATCACATCATACAACTATTCAAATTCAAAATTTTAACTATTCAAATCCCAACTCAAAATCCAAACCCCCCAAACAAACACACCCATATATACAAAAGGAATTGTATAAAACAAAATGGAAGAATTAGAGTAAAAACAGGAGACAAATTGATAAGCCTATAAATGCACTTTATCAAAAACAGTAAAAAAAAAAAAAAGTCCATATGGATTATATTAAAAAACATATATGATGCAGGAAAAGAAGAGGATCGAAAAGGCTATGTATAATATGTAATGAACCAACTAGCGGTTATGGAAGTAAAGCATTTGGAGATCCTTACAGTGAATGCATGTCCATGGCAGCAATGGAGGATCAAGGCAGTAGGAATGAACACATCTAACCTGGCAGAAATGACATCTGATCAAGAGATCCTCAGGTTCCCTGCTGAAGCATCCACAGCATACCATTTCCGATTGCTACACAAACACCAGACATCCGAAAAAACGAAAGTCAAAGTTAGATATAGATAGATATATATATATGTGGGTATATGTATATCATGTGTGTGTGTTGAACTGCTGATGAGAGAAGAGAATCTCTCACATTGCTAGGAGGAACATGGTTTTCATCAGGGAGAATATACAGATCCATTTGGGAGCTAAGTGAGGGGATTGTTTGCGAATATATTTTCTGATCCGACGAGACAGCTTCTTCCACTCTAGTGATGCATATGAAGCTTGCCTTGCAGAGAGGGCATGTTGAGGGCCTTTTTAATAAAGCCTGGACAGATAAATAGATAGATACACATCACAGTTAGAAAAATAGATCGATACTATCAAAATATGAATCGAACATGTAAAGTAAGAAAGCGCGCAAGAACAATCGAACCACCATTATAACTAAACTGCAGTTGGCATAACAGAGAATTAAGTACATACCATGTGATCTGCCCAGCTCTGGATGCATGAGAAACAGAATCGATGACCACACGGTAGCACTCCCCTGGTGGAACTGAAATCTGTCCAACATATTACACATGATAATTCATTCGATGCAGGGAGTCTAGCAGGGTGAATGCCAGCAAGATCCTCGGGGGAAGCTTTTTTTATGTCCTCTGGAGTTGGGGGAAGGGGAGATATTGCAGAAGCACTAGCATTCGGGTTTTCACTGTTTTCATTCCCAATCTCTGTGACATCTTCTGGAGCATCGATGTTCTCTTGTCCACTAGAACTGCACCTTGTATCAGATGTGTTCCTCATGGATGAACTGAGGTGTGTCTCGACAACTTCATTATCAGAAAGAATTCCACCGCTATTTCGGTCAGGTAAACCATCTACGGACAAACCATCCTCACTTGAATGTTTTTTAACCAGCCTACGAACCCTGGAGTGGTGTGCCGGAGAAGTAGGTTTTACTTTCTTTTGTCTGGAGGAGCGTCTGGTCTGGACAGGGCTCGCTTCATCGATCTATTAGCATTAGCAAAATCTCGACATCAAATGATATTGCTAATCTTTTTATTGAAAACAAAGCTATGTAAGAAAGGGTATATTAAGGGAGTTTCTAGATAAGGTTAAACAACCTTCTGCTCTATGTTCACCTAACGATGCTACAAACAATTAACAAATCACGACAATTACAGTTAATTATGTTTCTGATTGAGTAGTCAAGTAAGCTTTGATACTTCTTTAGACATTTATAGAAAGAAGTATCAACCTAAATCCACAAAATAACTTAGTGGCTTGCAATTTTTAAAATTCCCAATTATGAATGCATGGAATGGAAAAAAGTTTTGATTAATAAAGTTACAATACCTCCACAAATGTTGGCTTCGGCGGAATCTCCAGGCAGAATATACTGCTACTGGGACAATCCATGCTGGAGTACTTTCTAATTGATTTCTTCCTTGGCCGAGAATACAGATCCTGAAGGCAATAACAAATCACAATTTTGTCATAAATAAATTAGCAGCCAAGGAAAAACCAAAATAAAAAACAATATTGCAACGAAACCAAGCAACGTTAGCAGCAAAAATAAAAAATCATCAAATACTGGTGATGTGCTTGTTCAAATTTACAAAAAGAGACGATACAGAATGGGGACGACATCTAGAGGACTATAGAATCTTGAACTCATAGAACCACAGATATCTTCTATGGATTGTAATCCTTTTGATAAACACCGCATAGGCAGGGAAATTCATGGAATTCAGATCACATCACTAACACAAACACATGTAATTCATCAACACTATAAAATTAAAATCATAGATTCAGAGAGCAACCTCATCCAAAACAGTTGGATCCGTCCAAGGGTCATCATTTGTGTCATCACAATCAATATTAACCACAGTTTTCTTCTTTCTTGATGCTTGAAATTGAACCTTTGCAGAGTTGGTACTTGACGGGACGTCCAAAGTCAGGGGTCCGATTTCTTCGCCACTGCAAGAAAAATAACACAGGGCAATATCAGTTAGCCCTTAGCAGTACACTCTTTGTGTATATTTTCTACCCCTACAGAAAATACCTATGAAAACGGTACGGATCCTCTGAGACACGCCTTCCTTGCTTTACACATTCTTCAATCCACCGATGATTAACTATTGCTATCTTTAACTTCTTTGCAAGCTCGTGCTTTCTTCCTTCAAATTTCCAGCACACCTAGAGAACGTAAGCAATAGAACTGTCAACAACAACAACACAGATACTGAAATTCAACAAAACAGTAAAAGAGAATAATCGACCAAGTAAAAGATTAACTAGAATTCTTACCAAATGCGTAGTAGACTGGTTCATATTTCCGACGTAACTAGCACCCGCTCGAGCAATCAATTTGATGAGATTGAATCTCTCGGAGCCGTGATATCCGCTCACTGTAGCTACCACCGCTTCCATTCCTTCGACAGGTAAATTCGCAGGCTCTGCAGAACATAAAACACAACTAAGTATCGCCACGGACGAAACTAAATACACCCAATCCCAAACCCTAATTGCATTCCAGATCCCGAATGGTAAGAAATCCGGTTAAAATAAAGCACAGGATAAACCCTAACGCCAATCCAACAAATTTGCATCGAACAAGTCTAATTGGAGACGAAACCTGCAGGTAAGTGGCGATCGACCGCAGCGAGGTGTGGACGACGGATTGAATTGCTTGCCATGCTCGGCATCTCTGCGTGCGAATGCGATGACGCCGCGAAAGTGAAATCCTTTTGATTTTTGAATTTGGGATTTTTGTGTGGAGTATTCAGTATCACGTTTCCCTCCCAGAATCCCACCCTTTCCAAAAACACGGGTACGGGTCTCGTGGCGGGTCGGATAAATAAATTAAAATAATTATATGATAGAATATAAATAGAGATTAATGTAATATTTTTAATATAAAATTGATTTTTATTATAATATAAATAAAAAATAAATATTTAATTTGATAAATTTTTTTTAAAAAAAATAATGAATAATAAATTTTAAAAGAAATAGCCAAACAAACACACCCTAAAGTATTAGTTGTCATTTGCATATTATTTACTCGTTTTAGTTATAGGAGTGTTTCTTTAACACAAATGTTCAAAAATTTACTATTTAAACTATCACTGAGAAAAAAAATAAAAATCACAAAATATTCTATTAAATATTATTTTAATAATAAATTCAAACCAAATCTATTAAAAAAACAAATACACAATTTCCCAATCACAGTAAAAAAATTTCAAAATGTACGATTCTATATAAAAATACATAATTCATTTTATTTACGATCGATCTCTAGTGAATTTCAGGCAGTAAAATTTGATACAAAAAATGATAGATATGAAGTGTCGAACCGATTATCTCGAAGCAATGCACGGCCCGAGTGATGCGGTCGAAAACGATGTCCTCAAGCATAGTTTTTCCGCATACATTTTTGCAGGTGCAACATAAGCGTCTCCACGACAAGCCAAGTGATGTCGAAACAGATTCCAGACATGCCGACGAAGATCAGTACTCGAAAGCAATGAAACGTACAATCTTAAGACATCGATGGCTCACAAAACCGGGAAGAACAGGCCATGTCGTCATTCTTCGATCCTCTAACAACCAGTGGTCGGGCAAATCGAAACAGCTACTTCCTTCAAACCCAAACTTTATTCCTCAGCGTCGACAACGAATCCGAGAATTACACCTTCATCGAATAAGCTGTTCGCAATCATATCTCGAAGCGCTATGTTACCAAAAGGAAACGAGAAAGAGATAGTAGTAATCCGTAACCTAAAACCTACGTCGATCAAACGCCTTGTAAACCATACAATTAGACGAACACAAATCGATGCTTCATAACGCATTCATTAAGCGTGTTTATAGACGCGACTATTTTCATCCAAATCCATCGTACTGCTCATTGATCGGTCAATTACCTGATGGAAACATCATAAAACCTTGTGAAGAAACAAAAGAGGAATCTGAACAAGTGTCGATCGGTCGTACCCCTATAGTATGCAGTTAAATGGCCGGGATCTTCAGCTTTTACATATGAACACGGTTTTTCAACCTCAGGGTACGGGTTGATATCCGGTTCCAGCTCCAGTTCCTGGCATCGACACATAAGCTGAGTTCTTCGTAGAAACATGACCTTCAGGTCCTGGAGCGGCTGAAGCATTAAAATTGGCGCCATCGTGCACGTGCGCCGCACTCCTTTGAGCTTCTTCTCCCGAACCTCTTTGCGTATCATAAGGAGGAGCGCTCTGTCCATCATACCCAGGTCCTTTACGAGAATCATATCCAGGTCCCATCTGGAAATTATGTACCGATGTAGTAGATCCCGCCTGAGGGTCATATCCAGGTCCGGAATGGGAAATATAAGCAGGAGCAGCTGATCCGATATGTCCATCAGGGACAGCGCCGATTGGTCCCCTTTGAGGTTCGTACGTAGATCCAACCTGCCCTGCTCCAGAAAGCCCGTAGCCAGGTCCGTTAGATGCGCTGTAACCAGGAACTCTGGAAGCATCGTGAACAGTCCCGAAACCATATGGAGCAGATTGTGGTGGAATGTATGCTGAATTAACCCCGGCGACGGGTACGCCACCAGGTCTGCCAATGCCCTGCTGCAATGAATTAAAATCGATGTTGATTGTGAAGACATAAGGACTGCATAAATGGGAAAGTTTTAAATGAATCAAAACATTTCTTGTATCGATACTGATACCTCTAAGAAAAGCATGTATTTCATTACGAAAAACTATTCGAGTAAAATGAAGATCATCTGCACATAAAAAGGAGCACGCTTTGGAGGATATTTTCAATTTATTCAACAAGTCCCAGATTTCCATTTTGTATTTGGTTAACATGAACGACATTACAAAATTATAATTTAATTACTAAGATGCATTTACCTGGCCAACACCATATGAATTTTGAACAGAAGCATAATTGCCCAAAGGATAATGATCGTTATATCCAGCAGAACCACCGTACGGTGCTCCTACATTTGCATTGCAATACACGTGCCATTATAGTTAAAGAAAGTGAAAAGCAAGCATACTGAAGACAATCGTAATAGTGACCTATACCTGTCCGTGGACCAAAGTTAGTCAATTCCGCCCGAAGCTTCTCCACTTCTTTGGACATTGCCATATAGTTCTTTTCCATCACCTGAAGTGATTCGAGATGGTCACTGTATAACTTCTTTTCATACTCATAAGTAGCCCTGTGGTATTTAAGTCGAATAAACATCAGAAGTTCAAAACAACTTTCTCGTAGAAGTTTAAATTTAGTTACTAAAATTGAAGAAGAGACAAAAATGATGTATGTTAGATTGATCATTAGTGACACAGAAGATACAACTGAAAATGCAATTTCTTAACATGGATTCCATAATTTAGATTGTGTTTGTTTGGAGATTTTTTGAGAATTTTAATATCTATTAAATTTGTTCTCAATAAAAACATCAAATCAGATACCTAATTTTTTATTTATTTATTATACTAAAAATCAATTTTATATTTAGAACATAACATAACATTCAAATTTAAAATTTTACTATTCACAACTCAAACCACCAAACAAACACATTATGTTTTCACACGGCATATGCATATATTAATACCTGCAATGCTGATACTCTTGTCGCAGCCGATCAAGTTCGGCCATTAAAGGAGGGAGTTGCTTTGCATCCGTGTGAGCCATATGAAGGTCACGACTCAATTGCTGCGCCTTTGACATTAGTTCCTCCCTTGAAACAGCCAACTTCTGTGCTTCAGCTCGTGCTTGCTGCAACTCCACTCTTACGGCATCCAAACCTTTCAGTTCAGACTCCATCATTGCCATTCTATCCGCAAGACCCCTCATCTGTTGCTCCTTTTCAGCCGCTGTATCAGCAATACGAGCATGTATCATCTGCAGCTCATGGTTGGATGTAGCAAGATCTTGTCTTAGAGTTCCATGGGTAGCAGCAAGCCTTTGATTCTCTGTTGCAAGTTTTTCTATCTCAGCATGTTGCGCAGAGAGCTTTTGTTCCATTATTTCATGAGGACCCAACATCTCAAAAGGTGGGTGGAAACCGCCATGAGGTGGAGGAATCCCCGAAATATATGGATCAGGATGCCCGACCCCAGGGCCAGGAAGAGGACGGAGGTGGTGAGGATGAGGAGGAGGACCCCAACCTTTGTTTGCCATAATTATCTACAACACATTCAGCAAAAACAACGATCACTTATCATGAATCTAAAGGAATACAAAGAAATAGAGATAATGCGCAATTAACAATATCAAAACTTCATACACTGAAATAAGAACAGATTCATAACCATTTTGTCAGTTAAAATTAAGCCTACAACAGCAAGCGCGCCCGCACTTAAGCTACATCAGTCCAATATGCTTCTCCAAATGGATTTTAATTTGATAAATATTATAAACACCATGAAGAAACCACATTGCACTTATAGTACCGAACCAAACACAATAATCAACACATATACAATTTCTTCCATTTCTCTAAGGAAAACTACCACAAGCTCACTGTGATTCACTAAATTTATACACTCAAACATCATAGATTCCATACTTATTGCACAACACCAACCAACTCCAAAACAATGCACTCATAACAAACATAAAAATGCATAAGTTGAATATTCAATGAGCATAATCATCTTAATAAAGAGCTGTAAAACAAGCCACTTAAGGTAATTTCACTGCCCAAAATGTGTATCTAATACCCCCATGATCTGCCCACGCCTCCCTTCGCATGATTTCTTCAAATTCATTAACCACTACGGCAATATCCACATAATTTCATCGCAGACCGTTTTTTACCTCCTATTCCACAATTTACAGTGAAAAAACGACAAGAGGGAAAATTCATCCCAGAATTATTCGCACAATAGAAAGCGAACTAAATTTATTGAATGAAATTAACCAGCCGAGTTCATTTCCAGCTAACAGACTCTCACAATATCGACATAAGTGGAACGATCCTATAAAATAGAGACTTCCTCCGACTTACAACCGAAGAGACCAACCTTATCCTTCTCCGGCGCAGTCGAATACGGCCACGGCAATGAGCTCCGGTGAATTTTTTCGCGTGGTGCGTCGGGTCAGGGTTTTGTTTTAGATTGCAGACATTGGGAAATTCTCGTATAATTTACTTGAAGAAGAGAAAACTGATTGGGCCGAAATAAATTGAGCTTATTACAGTTAAATTTTAAAACGGCCCAATAATTTTCTTATAATTGGACCAAGGCCCTAACTTGAAAGTTTATTAATTTAAATAGGAACTTTATATTATTTTAAAAATAATAATACTCTCTTTCATATGTTCCATTTTCTTCCATCCTTTTTTAGAAAATCATTTTATAATCATATTTTAAATTTTATCAGTTTAATTTTTTATTTCTATTATATTAATTAATTATTTTAAATTTAATGTATAATTATCTTAATTATTTACTAATATTCATAATTTTCCTAAATTCTCTTGTCTATCGACTGTAACACTTAACACCTATTTTGGGGGTGGAGAGAATAAAATTTTAGCATATGAAGATATTAATTTTCAATAAGATAATTACAAATTTTAGCAATTCAAATGGTCAAATAAAAATTGTGAACAAGTTGTCCAGATTGAGATTGCAATTTTATGAATAGTCAATATCGCTCGACGCGTTCAAATTTGAAACATCTGTATATTTACACATACTACTATTTATTGACCAAGAAATGGATTTTTTCTATACTTCCAACAGATTTTATGGTAAAGAGTACAAAGAAAAAGAAAAGATGATAATGGTTCGTAGAGTCCGGGACCAGAAATCTACGTCAATCTGATCCTCGTATGGACGGTGGACCAGGAGTCAGGAGTTGCGATCCATGGATCGCGTATGAGCTTCCAGCATCCATGGAAATTAGGCATTATAATAGAATGTGTGGTGTATTTTATGTTAGATCACTAGTTTTTATTTTTTATTAGAGAATTTAATTTTTAATAAATATTTTACATAAATAATAATAATAATAATAATAATATATGCGCCTAATCAAATATAATACTCCCTCCATCCTATATATTTTGGATGTGTTACTGTAGCTACGAGAATTTAAGTAAAGTATAATTAGTAGGTAATTAAGAAGTGTATTAGTAGAAATAATTGTTATTTAGTAAAAATAATTATAAATTAAGATTAAGATAAATAAATAGTTTAATTAAGATTTAAAAAATTATAAAACTTAAAACATAAATTTTGATTAAAGTGGATAATCATATTTCCAGAAAAAAGGAAATGACAAGTTACGTGGGGCGGACGAAAATATAAAATAGGAACAAATTATGTGGGATGGAAGGAGTAGTAGTAATATAATTCTTAAAAGTTTAAACGTTTTAAATTTAATATTAAATAAAATATTGTTAATTTGTTTGATTTTTTGTTTGAATTTAGATTCTTTTTCAAATTCTAATTTAAATAATATTGAATATATTTTTACAAAAAAATTAATGTAATTTTATTAACAACAATGTTTTATTTGAAATAAAAAACAAACACTCTTGTTTTATAAAGATATAATAAAAAAATCTTTAAGAGAGATACTATGCTGAAAATTCTAATTCAGCATGGCTGAATTTAATCATGGCCCTTAATTATTAGGTTATTTATTTAATTAAAAAGATTAAATTTAAGATTAGAGGTGGGGATTAATTTCAGTATGATCTCATCCCAAAAATCTTTCATCTCACCTATATTGTGTGTCTTACAATTACTACATAGGATTGTCATAATTCAAAAATGGACAAATTTATTATAATTCACTTTTAGTTTGAAAGTTTATATTAGTTCTTTTTTATAATTAAAAAAAAAAATTACAAGAAATCCTCTTGTATTTTTTGAAATATTGCAAAGAATTCTATAAAAAGAGTACAAAATTTCTTCATATTCTATAACATAAGTATTTCACAAAAACTATTAAAAATGATTTTGTACTAATTGCATGTAATTTTTAAATGACGAAGGATAATGATACAAAAATTTCAAACAAGGCATGTGTTTTGGGTTATTTTTCTTAAATAATCTCCATTCAATTTATTATTTTTTTTATTACATATTTAAATTTTTTGTTACATTTTAATTAACATATACATTTTTTTATCTCATAACAATTGACATTTTCTGTTTTTATAAAATTTATTTTATCAAAACATAAGTAAAATATATAAATATAATCTACTCAAAACTCCTTTAACTTTATGTTTCTCTTAAAAACAACAAATATAATTTTTATAATATTTAAGTATATATTTTATTTTTTATCATATATATTAAATTTATTTTAAATCTATCAATATTATTAATTATATAAAATAAATATTAAAATAATAGTAATATAATTTATTATTTTTAACTAATTAAATATTCCTAAATATAATCATTAATGAAATGATTCAATTTTATTGCGACTTTAGAAGTATTACTAAATCTACCACAGAAGCACGTGCAAGGGAAGGGATGATATATTTTAATAAACAAAAAATTACTCTTTCTAGTATGTAATAAATTAATTTTTCTACTGTAAAGCGTGTGTATGTTTGAATTTTGTATTGAAATTTGAATTATAAATAAATATTGATGTAACGTTATAAATATAAAATAATATAGAAAATAAAAAATAAATGTTTGATATAATGTTTTCAAGAGAAAAAATTTGGATAAATAATGAATTTTTGGCAAAATCACTCAAACGAACAATATTTTTCCAAAAATCTATTATTCATAAAAAAAAAAAAAAAAAATCTAAAAATATAAAATCAAACATCAATTTTTTACTTTTTATATTCAAAGTATTATATCTACACACATTTATATCACATTATACAACTATTTCAATTAAAAAATTTTACAAACTTTAGTATTCATTCATTTTTTTCCCAAAAATATCAAATCAAATACCTATTTTTTATTTTTTATATTATACTAAACATTAATTTTACATTCAAAACATTACATCAACATCTATTTATTTTATATTATACTCCCTCCGTCCCCAATCTATCTATCCATTTTGTTTATGCACGGGATTTTAGAAATATTAGTATTATATTGGAATAAAGTAGAAATAAAGGTAAAAAAAACTAAATTAACCCTATTAGTATTGTATGATATAAAGGTAATGACATTTGTGTAATATATTGTAAATTAGAAGGGTATTTGTAATGTTATGTAGATAGTACAATTAGAAACGAATACTTTGTTATGGGACGAACCAAAATGAAAAAATAGATACATTGTTAGGCGACGGAGGAAGTACTTTTATTATTTAAATCTGAATCCAAAATCCAAAACCCCATCCAAACACACGTGGAAACAATTTGTATTGATAAGACAGCCCAATCTCCAATTTCTGAGGAGACCTCGGATTTGAGGACCAGATGAGCTGGATCCACGTTATTTCCAGCTACGCCCCGCGTCAATATCGCGGTCCAGCTTCAATGGTTCTGGAGCCCCGGATCTCGCACCAATAAAACACATCACTGTACTAAATATAACTATAACTATTTTTAATTTGTTATATCGCCTTCAAGGACATAGAAAAAGCACCGTTGTGGAAGGAATTCCCCCAAATTATTTAAAATCGATATTTATAGGAATTATATATATTAAAGTATTTGATTTTCTTTTTTAGAAAAATTAGTTACCCAATTAATGACTATAGTTAGGTCTAAATAATAAATAAGGATAAAATAAGTGACTTTGAAAATAATTATCTATAGTTGATACGAAAGAAGTACTTTTATTACTCACCCGTGACTGTCGGATGCATCAGCGCTGACTGTGCGCCGTTATCTGTTTATGACGTCCGTTTTAAATAAGCACATGAATCTGACTATGGCCAAATTTTTATTTGACCTTACTAAAATTAAAAAAAAGATATATATATATATACAGTAAAAGATGTGTTTGTTTGTATATATTAATTTATAATAAAAAATATATATTATTGATACTTAATGCAAAATATTTTTTTTATTTTTTTATTTTTTTATTTAAGAGTTCACTTAAAATTTATATCACACTATAAAGACAATATTATATATGAACATACTAGCTCGTAATCTGTGTAATACATAAATTATTTTTATGCTAAAATATACATTAATTTAATACTTTTTATTAATAATACTTATTTAACAGTCGAATCAAATCAAATACTGACACTACAAGAAACTAACTCAAAATAAATCTCTTTTAGAGACAAACTCCAAATATTTGGTTCGGTAGTGGCAAATGAGAGCCACTAAAATTTTAATTGAAAACATCAATTTAATTTAAGTTTTTGATAAATTAATTTCTTAAAAAAAAAAAAAAAAACTTATTATACCTTAAAAGTTAATTTCTAAAAAATTCTATATCCCAATATTTAATTTTTTAAAATATTTTTGTCCTATTTGCCCTTAAACACTAACACTAATTCTTTCATTATCATATATATTAATATAAAATTTTCATATTATTTATTTATATATATATTTTTTTAGTGAGGACATAATTATTCATATTTTTTTATTTTTTTCTTATAGAATATCTAAAAAATATCAAAAATAAATATTTAAATGATACTTATATAATTCTCTTTAACTAACAACATTTCTAAAAAGTCATACATAATAAAACAACACAACTAAATTTTTTTAAAATAAAATATTAAATAACTTTAATTGCCGTCTTATGTATAAACTATTAATATCGTCGATCTATTATTTTATAAAACACTCTTGCACAAATAAGTGAAGTAATATATTTAGCTAATCAAATCAGTTAAATCTAAAAGTCGCCCCACACTCCTTTAATATAATTGTATACGGTATTATAGCTCATATTTTATTTTTTATTAGGGTAAACTGGTTTTTTAGTTCCGTAATTGGACCCCTTTATCATTTTAGTCTCGTAAGTAGAGCATGTTGCAAACTAGTCCCATAAGTGAAAATTTTTCGCTGTTTTAGTCATCCGGCGCCGGAGACGCCCGCGTGGCTCGCTGGAGGTGACGCGTCCTGCCAGGTCAGCGACATCTGATAGACACGTGGATTTTTATTTTTTTTTCATTTTTTAAAATTTTGTTTTTAAATTGGACCAAATAAAAAAATAAATAAAATTTAAAATAAGTTTTAAAAAAATAAAAAAATTCCACGTGTCTGCCAGGTCAGCGACACGTCACCTCCAGCTAGCCACGCGGGCTCCAACGCCGGAGGACTAAAACACCAAAAAATTTTCAGTTATGGGACTAGTTTGCGACAGCTTCACCTACCGGACTAAAATAATAAGGGGGTCTGAGACTGAAAAAACAGTTTTACGTTTTTTATTATTATTAATAATTTTTTTTGCATACTTATCATTGTATTGTAAAAATAGCATATTAAAATCTTTATATATATATATATATATAGTGAAAGAAATGCTATATATGAGTTATGCATTTATCTAAATATACAGCTACTATATATAGTTTTGTAAAACACTATCTATATATAAGAACATGCTAAATATATATATATATATGTATATGTCAAGTTCTAAATATGATAAATATATCCAAAATACTAGGAAAAACAAAAAGGTGTCTTGTATTTTGCATTTAAATAATAGTTTAATTTGATATTTTGAATTTACATTCACTTTATAAAATTATTTTTTATTTACAAAATAATATCTACATTTGTTATTATTAAAAATTATTATCATTTATTTTATTAGAATCATAAATCGAATATCAATTTAATAAATTTCATTTAAATTATTTTTCAACCAACAACCAAATGCTATATATTCTCATGCTATTAAATATTCAGTTAGACAATTAGTTAGTAGATATTCATAAGTGGTTAACGGGTACTGTTACTTGTCATAAATCAGTTTGTTTGGTATCTCTAATGAAAAATTTTCATTATTAAAATTTTACTTACAAATAATTGCATTAAACTTAATTTTTTATTGTAAAAATAAACTTATTTTTATTTAATTTGAATAGATCTAAATTGTCATATAATTTTATTTCTATGCCTATAACTTTTAATTTTGAAAAAGAAAGGGTAGAAATAAACGACACCAATCGTTTGTTGGGATGCCCCAAATTTCTTGGAATAGGAATTTTCAATTTCCTAAAAGATGAAAACAGTATAAGAAAGTTGAATATTATAAACATAAATTTTTATGCAAAAGTACGTTACTAACTGCACTTCACCTGCCACACATGGTTTATTTACTGTAACATTTTTGGGCTTGATTTGCAGGATATTAGGTTCCGCCGGAGGTTTACTCAGTGCGTACTTTCGAATAGCGGCGGCGGATTTTCGCGTTATTAAAAAAAATAAAAATACAATTTTATTTTTTATTTTTTAAAAAAGGAAAAATGTAACAAACACATAGGGCTGACAAAAATTAACCCGACATGATAACCCGACTCGAACCTAACCTGAAATAGTTGGGTTTGGGTTGAGATTTTCGACCCAATTAATAATTAGGTCAAACCCGTTTAACCCATTTAATTAAATGGCTCAGGTTAAAGTCTATATTTTTGACCTGAAAATAACCCGTATAACCTGTTTAATTAATATTATTTTAAATTTAAATAATTTTAAATTTTATCAATACAATTCAATATTTATGGCAAATTTTATAAAAATAAACAATAAAAAATAAAGGATTGTGTTATGTGCTATTATGTAGTATTTGTTAATTCAATTCTTGAATATCGGTTTTATGATACGAATAAATAATTTTTTGCTTTAATATGTATATATATTATGCATTAAAAAAAAATTTTAGTATAAATTGTAATTTTAAATTAAAATTTCAAAATTTTAGATTTAAACGAGTTATATGAATCATATTCAGGTTGACCCTATTAATAAAATATAAGGTTAAAATTGTAAATATCAACCCATTAAATTAAATATGTCAGGTTCAGATCAAAAATTTTATAACCCGTTTAAACTGACCCGAACCTGAACCCTACCCAACCTCATCTGTTTGCTAGCCTGCAAACACATCACCTGGACTTCAAATAAAAATGATTACTTAAAATTACTATCTAATTTTAATTTTAGTTGAATGTGGGGACCACACAAGTTGCCTTGTAATCATCGAAGGAGCGATCCAATTGATGAATGTCGGCGTACAGATAAAAAATAATAATAATAATAAATAATTTACTAAATATGTGGTCATAATAATAAATAAACGGCAGCCAATTTTTTGCAATATTTTTTAAATTTAATAAATAAAATTACACCAAAATAGAACGATAAGCATTTTTGTAAACGTTTGCCGTAACGCCGTACACAACTGGAAACTGCAAGCTGTAGGCTGTATGGCTGTATGTAGTCAAGACCTTACAGAATGTCACGAGGTCCCGGGACCTCCGATCCCGAGAACCATCTCCTTCTCTTATATATACCCGCCATCGACGAGAACAGAGCATCTCTGTAACTTCTTAAAAACAAAAAGCTTAAAATTCTCCAAAAGTTTAGCGGTAATTAGATAATGGTCAGTGGGAATATTCCTCCGAAGATTCTCCGAACCGTCCGCCGCCTCAATTCGGCCGTCACCGCCGCGCCGCTGGCCGGAAAGCCAGTGACAGTACCGGAAATTGTCAAAACTCCCAGCGCCGCCGCCGATTCCGCGGCCGGAATAAATCTCTCCGATGCGAAGGAGCTCTTCTCCTCCGTCTCGACTTTCAACCTGCTGAGGTCATCGCTGACGCTGCAGATGGCGGCGGTGGCGCCGATGGTTGATTTCGGAATATGGGTGATGAATTCGCGGCTTATGGAAAATCCTATTTTCCGGCGGGCGGCGCTCGCCGTGACGGAGCGTACGTTCTACGCGCACTTCTGCGCCGGCAAGGATCTGGAGAGAACCGCCGGCACCGTCCAGAAGCTTCGCGACTCCGGTCTCAGCGCTATGCTCGATTACGGCCTCGAACACGCCGGCGACAACGAATCCTGCGACCGGAACCTTCGAGAATTCGTACGGACAATCGATTGGACCAAATCGCTGGAAGATCGCAGCGTAAGCTCCTCCCTCCATCCTCACCGTCCATTTCGCGATGGACGGTCAAGGTCGCGTCCCTAAAAAACATTCCCGGCATTAAATCTCCATGCAGCTGTAACAAATCCCTAAATTAGATCTGTAACAAAAGCTTAGCAAAACCCTAACAATGGAGTTTTATTGCAACAGGTGAGCTTCGTGGTGGTGAAAATCACGGCAATCTGTCCGTCCAATTTGCTGAAAAGAGTAAGCGATCTGCTGCGGTGGGAGCACAAGGACCGTTCATTACATCTTCCATGGAAGCTCAAAGCTCTCCCGATTTTCACCGATTCAACTCCTCTCTACCACACTCCGACACGGCCAAATCCTCTTACCGCCGACGAGGAATCCGATCTCCAATCAGCGCAGAACCGCCTCGACACGATCTGTCAGAACAGCCTCGAATCCGGCGTGCCGTTGCTCGTCGACGCCGAGGACACGTCAGTCCAGCCGGCGATCGATTACCTGACGTATTCCGCCGCCGTCAAACATTCCGGCGGAGTCGACAGCCCGCTGCTGTACAACACGATCCAGGCCTACTTAAAGGACGCCGAGGAGCGTCTGGTCGCGGCGAAGAAGGCGGCGGACGGTTTAGGAATCCCTGTCGGATTCAAGCTTGTAAGAGGAGCTTACATGTCGAGCGAAAACGAGCTCGCCCGTTCATTGGGGGTGAAATCTCCGATCCACGAAACGATCGAGAAAACTCACGAATGCTACAATCACTGCGCAGAGTTTCTTATGGAAGAAATCGCCATGAAAACCGGCGCCGCCGTCCTCGCAACTCACAACATCGAATCATGTAAGTAAGAACACATAATACCATCGAAACAATCTAAGAATAGTCGAATATAATCCGATAATGTAACAATTTGTTGTTTTTTTTTTAGGTAAATTTGCTGCCGGTAGAGCCGCCGATTTGGGGATTGACAAGGACAACCGGAACCTGCAATTCGCGCAGCTGCACGGCATGGCGGAGGCGCTGTCGTACGGCCTGAGAAACGCCGGATTTAGAGTGAGCAAGTATTTGCCGTTCGGACCAGTCGATCAGGTAATACCTTATCTTCTCCGAAGAGCCGAAGAAAACAGAGGATTGCTGTCATCTTCATCTCTCGACAGACAATTAATGAGGTAATTAAAGAATTAATTAATCAAAATAAAAGGTTGAAAATGGCAATGATGAAATCTTGAACTAATCTAAGAAATTCTTGATTCAACTTGCAGGAAGGAACTGGTAAGAAGATTCACATCTCCTCTGTCTGGATCCATCTCAGGGTAGATTATATTTGGCCCATCTCTCTCTCTCTCTAGAGTCTCCCTAGTTCCTCTCTCTATAAATATATGTGTGTATAACTGTGATTGGGCTTGGGAGAGATTTAGGGTTTTAGTGGAATAAACGGACGCAGATGATGATGGTTCTTGTCTGGATGAATAATGTGATCATAGTGAAGACAAGACATCATTAAAATGTTATGTAAGAATTTGTTTATTGGTTTTATGCAATGATAGAGTTTTCTTGATGTTGTTCTTTGGTGAAACCAACTGTTTGCAAGTAAGCAAGGTTGAAGCTTTTATTAATGGTGGACCTGGTACAGTTCAGTATGTCTGCAAAAGACAAGATGGATGGGCAGTGGCAGCGGCGCCGGTGGGGAAGAAAGTGAGCTGTCAATGTCTGCAGGGAGACATTTAAATTTGGGTCTCCAAAAATTTAATACTCATTCTCTCCTTCGTCCCATGCAGTGACGAGTTCAAATCCGACCACTTCCACATGTCACGTAATCGTTAGTTTGGTGTAACTTGACTTGTCGAAATTTTCAGAATTTAATTTGTAAAGTATTACTCCATCCGTTCCCATATAATTTATTTTTATTTTTTATTTTTATCCGTCCTATATAATTTGTTATTTTTTTTAAAATTAATTATACACTTAAATCATATTTTAAAATTTAAAATTTTTTAATTTTAATTAAATTATTTAGTTATCTTAATCTTAATTTATAATTATTTTTATTAAATAATAATTATTTTTACTAATGCATTTCTTAATTACTTATTAGTTATACTTTACCTAAATTCTCGTGTTTATTATTGTAAATCGAATAGGAGGTTAGACTAGGGTTTAAATAAAATAATAGTAATAATAATAAATATAAGATTTTTGATAAAATATAATTATTAAATAATGTAAAAGAAAATTATCACTTAAAATAATGATTATATATTAAAATTAAAATAATTAAATAATATAATTAAAACTAAAATTTACTCTCTGATCTAACTTCGGAAGAAGTATAATTATTAAATAATTAATAAATATAACTATAATATAATAAAAATAATTATATATTAAAATTAAGATAATTAATTAATTTAATTAAAATTTTAAAAATATAAACTTAAAAAATAAAATAATCTCAAAAATATCAAATTAAAATATTTATTTTTTATTTTTATATTATACTAAAAATTAATTTTACATTCAGAAAATCATATCAACCTCTATTAATATCACATCATACAATTATTCTAATTAAAAATTTTTATTATTCAAATCCTAACTCAAAATCCAAACCCAACCAACACACCCTACAGTGAATCTGGTCACGAAAGTGGGAAGAACAAATGCTCCACGGTAGTGGGAGTGTTCTTGGGAGGTCCGGGACCTCTGGTTGCCACGCCGGGTAATCAGAGCTGGGCGGTGTGGGGTTTATCCGGCGCTGGACTCCCGGGTGCTTTAGGAATTTTCCTAGGGGGAAGATTCAAATCGGAATCTTCGTTAGGATGCTTGGTCAAAACTGGGAATCTTGTGTGTGATACGAAAAGTAATGGGGTTTGTGGTCGGAATTAGGATTGGGTTTTAATCACGGTTAGATAGTTAGTTTAATATAGTCACTGAAAAAATCGAGTTATTACTATAATAATGTAATTTTAACGTTATTGCAAAAGCAAGGTGTCCTGTCAAGTCTAGTAATGGCGATCTATTTAGTATTATTGCAAAAAAGGAACATGTGATTGGACGTACGTGACTTTATAAAGAATAATTAATTTAACTTCGCCCCCATGTTGCACAACTTGATAAGTTCAGTAATGCCGTGTTTATTTCCTTTTTTTTTTTTGTTTGTTCCTTTTTTTTCTTTAGGTATGATTTCTTTTTTCCTATTTGAAGTAGCACAGACTATATTAATAATACAAAAAATAATACTCTCTCCGTCTCAATACAATAGTCTTATTTATCATTTTTATCCATCTCAAAATAATAATTTTATTTTCATAAATAACCATATCACCGTAAAATTACCCATACTTTTTTATTTTTATTACACAATTGCTAATACACTCACAAGGGCAAAATAGTCTTTTACTCATGCTTTGTACCAAGCTTTTCTGTAAACACGAAAATTTAGGAGGAATATAATTAGTAAATAATTAAAATATATTAGTAAAAATAATTATCATATAATAAAATAATTATAGATTAAGATTAAGATAAGTGATTAATATAATTAAAATTAAAAAAAAACTTATAAATTAAATTTTTTAAATAAGATTAAAGTTTATAATTATTTTCCAATAAAGAAAAGTAACAAAATAAGTGAGACCGATGAAAATGGAAATATGGACATGTGAAGTGGGACAAAAGGAGTAGTTTATTTTAAAATTCTTAATTTTTGTATAAAATATAATATTCCCTCATTGACTAATTTGATTTGGGACGATAAAAGAGTTTAATTAGTTACTAATATTGATAGTTTTAATATATATAGTTAAAATAAATTAAAAATATGTTAAAATATTTTGAATATTATATCTCAATAAAATATATATAATGTTATATGTTATATGTTATTAAGTTAATTAAAGTGATTTATAATTGTTAAATATTGATACATTTAGTAAATCTTACTAAAAACGAAATGTGTTAATTGAAGTGCAACGGACAAAAGTAAAGAATGAGACAATTGAAATGAGACGGAGAAAAAACAAAAAGTATATTATATATATTGAAAATATGAGTGAACAAATTCTATAATAATATTTTTTTTTAGGGTAAACTGTTTTTTAGTCTCGTAACTTGACCCCTTATCATTTTAGTCCCGTAAGTGGAGCATGTCGCAAACTAGTCCCATAAGTGAAAAAATTTCGTTGTTTTAGTCCTCCAGCGCCGGAGACGCCAGCGTGGCTCGCCGGAGGTGACATGTCCGCCAGGTCAGCGACACCTGGCGCTAACCTGGCGGACACGTAGATTTTTTTTTACTTTTTTTTTATTTTATTTATATATTTTTAATTTTTTAATTTGATTTGATTTAAATAAAATAAAAAATATAAATAAAATAAATCCACATGTCCGCCAGGTGTCGTTGACATGGCGGACACGTCACCTCCGGCGAGCCATGCAGGCGTCTCCGGCGCCGGAGGACTAAAACAACGAAAATTTTTCACTTATGAGACTAGTTTGCGACAGGCTCCACTTACTGGACGAAAATGATAAGGGGGTCCAGTTACGGGACTAAAGAAACAGTTTATCCTTTTTTTTTAATAATTTTTTTTAGTTATGTAATAAATATATATTATTTTTTCATAAATAATTAACATTCAATATAAAAAAAATATATATATATTTATATTATGACTACAAATTTTTATATTTTAGAGGAGTATAAAACATATATTGATTTTCGTTGTTATTTTCAATCTTAAATTATTGTACAGTTTTGTATATCTTTCTATAAAATTATTTATCATTTTTTTAATACGAAAATGAATATGCATGATTCCTTAATTTTAAAATTGAATTTATTTATATAATATTTTATACTTTCGTATAAAGTGTCTATTTTTTATATTTTCGTTTCGTCTATATAATTTAATTTTTTATTATTAAATTTTTTTTATATATTTTAATTATATTTTAAATTTTATAATTTTTATTTTTATAATTTTAATTAAATTATTAGTTATTTTAATTTTTAGTGTATAATAATTTTTATTATATAATATTTATTTTTATTAATATATTTTAAAATTAATTACTACCGTCAATATGGACACTGTCAGTGGCACATATGGAGTAAAATGTTTTCTTAATTAAAACGATGATGATTGAATATTAAATACTAGTCTCTCTATCTTATATTATATACAAAATTATTATGGGTGCAAAAATTTAGATAAAATATAATTAATAAATAAATATTTATAAAAAAAATTATTATATATTATAAATAATTATAAATTAATGTTAAAATAGGTAATGAATCTAAATTAAATTAAAAAATATAATTATTATTTCTACAAAAAAAATAACAAGTGAAATTGACGAAAATAAAAATAATAAATAAATAAAATAGAAAAAAAAAAGTACATTTAATAAATATTTTATTTTTACTTAAACCATCACATATATATGCTACACATAAAACATCTCATTTTTTTTATTTCAATTTTAAAAACCACAAATATAAAAGTCTCTAAAATGAAAATAACAATAACAATAAAGAACAAGTGTAAATCAGACAACTTTGCTTGATTTTTTTTTTATTATTTTTAAATGAAAACAAAAAGTACAAGAAACATATATTGGCTCTAATTAATTTTTATTTTATTTATATTTCAAATATAAATCAATATTACTTATTTCATACCGTTTTTAATTAAAATAGAATGTAGTATTTTATTTTATTTTTTATAACGTGGAAATATGTAGTCGCTATCCGAAAGTATGTGTTGGGTAAACCTCCGGCCCGAATATATCTACTATGTGATTTAATATATATATATATACATATACATATTATACTTTTGCTTAATATGTAAGTTTGATTAATAACACAAACTTAGAATAACTTGAACATAGTATCAACACTGCATGGCTCCGTTCTCTTAAAAAAAAAAACAAAAATAATTAGTTAATATGCAAATTTTCATTGTTCACTTAAAAAATATTTTTGTCTTAATTCAAAATATTATTTTTATAATTTTCATTCGTAACACTCCAAATATCAATTTTCTATTTTACCTTAATTGTAAGCATATTATTACACATATATAATTACTTTATACATAAAGTTAAAGGGTAAAAATATCAAAAAAAATTTACACATTTATTTATAAGACGTCACATTTAGGGTGTGTTTGTTTGGGGGATTGGATTGGATTTACACTATTCATCCAAATTTTTTCCCCAAAAACATTAAATCAAACACCTATTTTTCATTTTTTATATTATACTAAATCAATTTTACATTCAAAACATCGCATCAACACCTATTTATATCACATCATACAACTATTTAAATTCAAAATTTTTACTATTCAAATTCAAAATTTTTAGTATTCAAATCCCAACTTAAAATCCAAACCCCCAAACGTCACATTTCATATTAACCAAATTTTTTTTTCTATTTTCTTTCAAAAAAAAAACTATTTATTATACTCTATAAAATATATATATATATATATATATGCTATTTCAATGCAAACGTAAAACACGTGAGGATTAAAAAAACCGAAAATTAATAGC